GAGCAGCACAATGGGTTTAGAAAGGTTGTCTCTGCTATCACGGTGACCAAATGCAATCGCTGCTGTTGCTGGAACAACTGTCTGAGAGCTCTTTGGCGCAGGAGCAGCACTGCATGACCAACTTTCTGAATGCTTAGAGGTCTAAGGGATGGTAGTGGCCATTTGACCCAGAGCCCTCATAGGTTGGTCAAGCAGCACCCCACCCCCAACTCTTACTTCAAGGAGCAACTCCAACCTCGTCTGCTTTAGGAATGGTTCTTCAGATAAAACGTACATGGAAGAAAGAATCCAGTCCCAATACTGTTTCAAAATAAAAGCTGACCTATGCAACCCCTTCATTATTCACAGAGGGATCTCAGGTGCACAGGAGACAACTGGCCTGCTCAAGGTCATACAATTCTCAAGGCGTAGACCCAACATGACAGACTTTATGTTTCTAGTCCACTGACTGCCCCGAAATTGGGGCTACAGCAGCCTCTGGCGACCATAGGCATCTCCTGATCCTTTCTGGGAGACCCCCTGCTCATCCCCAGCTTGGAAGTCCCCTTCTCCCCACCGGATCCATAATCCCAGTGAATCCCAGTGAATCCCAGCGAGCACTACGATTTAGCTGTGAAGAGGCGCTCTCCCTTCCCCCACACCTTCCCTGTGGCTCCCAAGCCCACTCTCCCTTCTGGGCCTTCTCTCCTCTCTTCTCCAGGCCACTTCACCAGGACGGGGCGCCTCTCTCCGGCATGCTTTCTCCCTTTCCAAGGCCCTTCTAGTTTTTCCCCCACCTCCGGCCTGATTCCTTTTTTGTTTTCCCTCCACTTACTTGATCACCTTGGAGCACTTTAAGCCTGGTATTCATCTGTGTTCCTCTGGGGTTTGTGGTAAGGCCCAGAGTTCATGTCCAACCAAGAGAAATTTTACCAAAAGAGGGTTGTGTGTATGAAAAAAGAGAAAGTTAAATTACAGCAAACAAAAAACTTATTTATAATAAAATGGTCTTAGGTAGGTTAGGGTGTGCTTCAGTAAGCCATATGAAAACATTTCACGACCACATCAAAACACTTGGCCATGTGAAGCACTTATAACTGGTCTGACCTTCAGAAGCCTTCACCACCAGGTTTCTGCCTGCTTGCTGTCTTCGGTGCTTCTCCAAGCTGCACCTCAACGCAGCTCCAACAGGCCTGCACAGCCTCTGCAAGGTGTGACCTCTGCCTTCTTGTCTAGAGCCCAAGCATGTCAAACTTGTAGCTGCATACCTCGCTTAAATCTGAGTCTAGACTGCTAGATGGTTCTGCTTGCATCTGACAAAATCCTGACCTCACTGCATGGTGTCGCTCACTTCCCTCCCCATTTGGTTGTCCCTTAAGTATTTTGTCAACAGCCAACTGTCTAAGGTCCTCAGTCAGCACTTCATCAGAGACCATTATATCTAGGGAGCTTTGGTTAACTACTGTTAACCCTTCCTTACATATATGCATATGCTTCTCATCTTTCCCTAATTACACAGAAAGTAGTGATTCATTTTCTGGGGCAGTGGTTTCTATAAATACAAACTGGCTACCAAAGATCTCCCCTGAGGAACTCATTAAAATGCATATTCTTGGAAAGATGAGCTCATAAATCTGGGTGAGGACAGGCACAGAACACAGGTGTAATGTAACAATGGGTGGGATCCTGGAACTAGCACATTTAACAAGCACAGTTTATGATACAGATGAATTGCTAGGTTGGAAACTGCTGCTCCCAGAGAATCTAGCACAAAGCTCTATACCTATAATGTGCTCAAACGGTAGCGGAAGGCTTCGGGGCTGATAATGAATTTTATTTTTACTGTATTGTTTTATTAAACCTGTGCTGTTCCCCTAAGTGAGGTGTCAGGCTCTGTGGCTATTCATATATATTACCTTTTCCTTATGACCTTTAGGAACAAAGTGGTATTCTTATTGGCATGAGAAGTCTGAGTCTAAGGAACTTGTTTCAGGTTACAGCAGAGCTAGAATCTGACTTCTACTTACCTGATGGCATAAACTGGTGGCTTATAATATCTGATTTGCAGGTAAGTTTTATTTGGACAGTACAATGTTTAACCTTAAAAAAAACTAATTGCCATCATTTCTAAATTGGATATTTTGTATTAATAGCTGGATTTCTGGCCTTTCTTAAAGGGAGAGAAAAAAAAAAAGATTGGTAACACTGGGACCCACATCCCTCTATGGCAACAATTAAGTGGGGCCTTTAGATGGATGTGGGCTAGAACTCACCAGAGTCCCTCTAGCCCCCATCTTCATCCACGGTTGGGCCTGCTTCTCTTTCACTCTGTCCCAGCCTGGTCCCTATAGGCCTGAGATTGAGGCCCTTTCTAATTTACTCTCCTGTTCCTCATTGTTCAGGAAGTTTGGTAAACCTATAGACAGTCCCTTCTACTTGCTCTGTCTTGTATGGGTCTCTGTTCACAGAGGTGTGTGCATTTTTTACTGTAATTTCAATACTAAGGAACCTGCTGGCACATCATTAAGGAAAACTGGGATATTTGGTCCTTAAACTACACATTCTGGCTCTGGCCTAGTAAAATTCTAAATTTCATCTTTAAAACAATTGGGGAAAATATGGCAATTAATCTACTTACTCCAATTCAATGGGGTCTGCTATTAAGGAATCCATAGTGAGCAAGGCCACCAAGGGGTGGCGATCCCATGAGGAAGTGCCACCCTCAGCAAAGAAGGCTGGGAGATGGAAGCTCCCTCTCACGTTACAAGGCCATTCAGAAACAAGAAATAAATGCTTACCCACCTCTACAAGCTGGTCCTTTTCAAGGCTGCATTTAAAAAGCCAGGGCCACAGATGACACTTAGAAGTTGTGCTTTCTGATGACCTTTTTGGATTCCTTTTCTATTTGTTTCTTTCTTTAAACAAGCTACCATTACTGCTGATTCAACATGTATCATTCTATAAATTTTTAATGTGTATTCCCATTTTTGGAGAATGTGAGCAGTTATGAAATTCTTTTAGCATCAGTATAGTAAGCTGCAAAAAAAAAAAAAAAAAATCTCTGCAAAACAGAATTAATCTCACGAGGCTAGGACTTCACGTTCATTGACAACTTACCAAGAAACTGTGCCAGGCATTTATATACTTCATTTACTTAATATAAGCCTGAGAGGTAGGCATTCTAATTTTAAAGGTAAACAAACAAGGGGTGAGGTTGAAGGACACACAGCTCCAAATCTTCCACCCTTCTCAATGCTGCCAAATGCCTCTTTGGAGACCTTCCAGAGACAACCAGGGACATTCCTGGTTTCTCAGCAATACCTAGAAATCCAGATCATTTTAAGGCATTATACAAATGAGAGGTCTTACTCTTCTTCACCTTAATTCCCAATCTGCATAAAGCTAGTGTAAGACCTCCTCCATCAATTTTCAGTTCACCACCTGTTGTCCACCCTTCTCCCCAACACCCTTCCATATCTTCAGAATAATTTCCTAACAGCGATGTGAGCCAAATTTAAATCAGTGTAGATACCTTGCTCTACCTGCAACAGTTTCCATTTTTTCAGAGATGGAGTATCTACTCTCTAAGCCAGGTAAGAATTATTCAAGTAGGGGAGTTAAAACAGGATCAAAGAGCGAAAAGCTGAAGAATTGGACTTTTTTGGTGTTTACTTGTAGAGGAAAAATAGCACAAAGATGCAGCCACAGTATTTAATTTGTTTGGATAATAGTTACAGATAAACAGATACACTCCATATACAATTACCAATACTTTTTTATACAGTTCATATTTCAGTACATCAACACTATTTTATTTACACTCTATGTACATTAACATATTTCTAAAGTCAGTGCATTGTCAACAAGTTTTATACAGTAATTTACAAGATGAATGTAGTTAATAGTTAATTTAATAAAGTTTCCACTAGTCATGAATTAAAAAAATTAATTACAACCAATATAACAAACATAGATCAAACAACATTAGTAGATTGTGCTACCTGTTTAAATAAAGTATCTGTAAGGAAATTATTTAAAATCTTCCATTTTTTTCATGGGACTTGTCCAGGTAGAAATGGACAGATTTTATATACTGAAAATCATGAAACTATAAAGTATGCATTTGTCTGACTTCATCTCATTATTCCATTTAGGCCACTTGCAATTATAGTCTTCTGAATAGGGTTTCAACTTAGGAAGGCATTTAAGACAACCTTCCCAAATGCTCTGAGAATAACTGGATAATAAATAGCCTCAGATATCAGAACACAAATGCTGAATTACTTTGGTACCTACTATCTATGAGAAGAAAAGGAAACAGAATCTGATAATTAATGAGAACCAACTTCCAGGGTCCAGATGAATACAAAAAGACTGAAAAAAAAAAGTGAAATATTTACTTTGAATATATATTTTATAACAACATATGAAAAAAGATGCTGCCTGAAATAAATAACATTTACATTTTTGTTCCAGTCTTGAATTATCAGAGGAAAAATAAAGAGAGCAAAGAAACAAAACTTTTGATGACTGCTACTGGGAAATTAAAAAAAAGAAAAAAGAAAAAAGAAAAAAGAAAAAAGAAAAAAAGAAGACAAACACCCAAAACAAAAAAACTGGACATGCAAACAAAATAGAAATTTACTTTTAAAACCATCAATTTCAATAAAAATCAATGTTTGGGATGTATTCTGTTTTTAAACTGAATATGATGGGGGGGGGGGAATACCCCATTCAAGTTAATATATAGCCCTTATAGCCATCAAATATAAACAAGTCTTGAAAAGTTCATTTGTATGTACTCTCTCCTTTTTTAAAGTGCAAAACAAAGAAACAAAGAAAAATAATCACTAATTATGAAATACCATGTAGCTTTGATGCCATTTTCTTCTCAGAAGCTTTTTGTGCAACACGTGCAAGTGAAGATGGTGCAAACGTTGGCAACTGCCCCACCACACTCAGCAGCAGGGGTGGAACACATTTTCGAGGACACGTAAAGTATCCTCCAAAGTAAGATGCCTCTAACTGAAAGGGCCATTTCGGCGGGATTCCCAGGATGCTTTTTTTTTTTCTTCATAGATTCTTCCAACCAAGGCCCTGGGTAGAAGGCACACAGCCCTTAAGAGATTCTTCGACTGAGCACACAATTGTGAATAACTCAAACCTGTGACTCCAGTTATATGGCTCTGCCACTGGTTGTGTCTCAAACACAAACACAACAAAAATAAAAAGCAAGAAAAGACATAAAAAGACTGGGAAAATGCTTTAAAAAGTAAGTGGAAAAACCTGTGTCCATGCCGTAAGAATCCTTTGCACACCTTCATGATCTTGCTTTCTCCATCTTGTTAATATAATGGAATAAAACTTCAGGAAAAAGGAGGTAGCATATCATGTCGTCCCAAGACAACACTATAATTTTTTGTTTTACTTTGACTCCAAGGAAATTCTTAGTATTTTGTTATAATTATTGGTAAACTCTAAACTCACTACCTATTTGTTCACATCTGGACAAGCACAATTTAGTTCTTATTTGGTCCCAGGTGGCTGGTGCCAAACCCTTTTGTTTACAGGCTAATGGTGGATTCTGCCTGAAAGTTCTCTACCAGAGAACTTTGTGAGATACTTCCAAACAAAACTATCACTACTGTTATGCTAACTGCTATTTTAATTAGGATTGTTATTTTGTGCTTCAGGGTCACAGGATAAAAATAACTACTTTAGTTAGCTTGCCTTTCAGGGACACTTTTGCCAAATGTTAGCTACGAGGAGTCATCTCCCTTACCACCAGACTGTCTAGCAGCCAGAGTGGTAGCTTACTGTAAAACACAGTACTTTTTGTAATCAGACTCAAAGTCTTCATCCATGCTGCTTGTGTCTGCCATCTTTTTGCCATCAATCTTTGGCAGAAATTGTGCATAGTCTATCCCCTGCTGCTCATAGAAAAGAATGTAGGCAGAGTCGGTGTCAATTTCATCCGGGTGAAGTTCCTAAAGGGATAAGAAAAGTCTTTAATAATAAAAAAGTCACTACTCTGCTGGCTCTTAATTCTTTTTTTTTTTTTTAATATATTTTATTGATTTTTCACAGAGAGGAGGAGAGAAGGATAGAGAGTTAGAAACATCGATGAGAGTGAATCATCAATTAGCTGCCTCTTGCACACCCCCTACAGGGGATGTGCCCGCAACCACGGTACATGCCCTTGACCGGAATCGAACCCGGCACCTTTCAGTCCGCAGGCCGACGCTCTACCACTGAGCCAAACCGGTCCTGGCTGGCTCTTAATTCTTGCCAGAAAAGAGAAGACCAAGCCTCTTCAATTACTAAACATGTTTGCTTCCAATTAGCTTAACATTTTGGCTATCTCATACCTGACCCCAAAATAAGCTCCATTATTTTCAGTGTTTGTTTTAGATAAAATATTCTGACTACAGACATATTAAAAAGAATAGCCAAAAACCTCCCCATCAAATTCTGATTAAAAAAAAAAACACACAAGAGCTTTTAATCATTAACTAATACTTTTTCCCCCTTACTACTCATGTTTTTTTTTAATGTTTTTATTGATCTTTAGAGAGAGGAAGGGAGAGGAACAGAGAAATAGAAACATCGATTGGCTTCCTCCTGCATGCCCCCTACTGGGTATTGAGCCCACAAAGGGGCACATGCCCTGACTGGGAATCAAACTGTGACCTCCTGGTTCATGGGTTGACGCTCAGCCACTGGGTCATACCGGCTGGGCAACTATTCATGTTTGTTTTTTTTTAACTTTATTATTTTTTTAAATATATTTTTATTGATTTTGTTCAGAGAGGAAGGGAGAGAGATAGACAGTTAGAAACATCGATGAGAGAGAGTCATCGATCAGCTGCCTCTTGCACACCCCCTACTGGGGATATGCCCGCAACCAAGGCACATGCCCTTGACCGGAATTGAACCCGGGACCCTTTAGTCCCCAACCGACACTCTATCCATTGAGCCAAACAGGTCTCGGCCAACTATTCATGTTTTTATTCTCTCCTCTGCATATCACTTTTGTTCCTTTAACACTAAAGGCATCTAGCCTTGGCCTTTGTTTATCAGTAGTTAGAGTGTCAGCCTACACACTGAAGGGTCACAGACCGGTCAAGGACAGGTACCTGAGTTGCAGGTTTGAACCCACAGCCCTGGTTGGGATATGTGTGGGAGGCAATCAATCCACATGTCTTTCTCACTTCTTTCTTTCTCTCTTCCCCCTATCCCCAAACTCTCTCTCCTTCCCTTTACTCTCTCTAAAAAAAATCAATGGGAAAAACATCCTCAGATAAGGATTAACAAACAAACAAAAAAAAACCCCCAAAATACTAAAGGCATCTATATACTGTTTCTAACAGAAATATCTATTCCATTTAGGAGAAAGTCCATTATTTAAACAAATATCCCTCAGAGTTGCTGACATTTTTGCTTTCCTTTATTCAAAGATTAGGAATATCTACCTTACAGCTGCTGTCATTGTAACAGTACCACTTGCTGTTTGGGTTTTTGGCATAAGTGACGTAATGGCCCCCGCCCAGAATTCCTGAATGGCACTGGAAGAGAAGAAAGTGGAGGTATGTTAGTAGTTAACAGAACTGTTCAGGGAACACTATTAAGATCCGATCAGGAAAACACTAATCACTTAGGTCCGTGGTCGGCAAACTGCGGCTCGTGAGCCACATGCAGCTCTTTGGCCTCTTGAGTGTGGCTCTTCCACAAAAACCACGGCCTGGGCAAGTCTATTTTGAAGAAGTGGAGTTAGAAGAAGTTTAAGTTTAAAAAATTTGGCTCTCAAAAGAAATTTCCATTGTTACTATTGATATTTGGTTCTGTTGACTAATGAGTCTGCCGACTTAGGTGACCAAGAAGGAAAATTTTGGAATCATCTAAAATTCTCCAAAATTTCAAAATTCAAAAGTCCCAAACCTAAATATTTTGTAGTTGCAATTATTTTTTAGAAAGCAAAAATTTCTTGGGAGCACACAATTGTGAATAACTCAAACCTGTGACTCCAGTTATAATAATTACATGACTATACCCATATTACTCTATGAGCATCTTGGATTTTATCTGGAAGGCCAAAATACCTATTGCTAACTTTTTCTATTACCAAGCTCAATGTTTAGGAAATAAGCAAGCATTGAAAAAAATGAATGAATGATGAATGAACAAATCACTGAAAAATGCAGATCATTCTGAAAACCATACAATATACCACTTACCGAAATTGCATATAGATTATAAATAGGATTAACACGAATATCTTCTCTTTGGTCATCAGTGCTGTCTTCTTCACTGTGGTTTTCAAGCTGACCATTGCTGTAGCCATTGCCACAGATATTGCCATATGCCTCCTGTTCATAAAGAAATCCATTGGCCAAAGCTACTTCGTGGTCCTGAGGGGTAACCAGCTCAGGTTGGCTGCCCCCCAGCATGTGCCCTTGGCTCAAGGCATCAGCCAGCTCAGAAACAGTCCCATTCTCTTTGCTGGCATCCAAGTTCTCCTTACTACTCGTCAGTTTATTTTTGCTGCCAAGCTGGGGTAGCCGAAGCCTGCCTTTGCTCCTCCCTAAAGTCCGTGGGCTGCTGTTAGGGCTGCTGTTTTTGCTGGAGGGACAGCTGGCTCCACCTTTTCTTGATGAAGATGGTGAACCTGTCAAAGGGAAAAGGGAAGATTCATAAAACTCAAATGCCACAAATTAAGCTAGCCATCAAATGGTAACTTTGAAGCCACCTTCACAAGTGTGCACATAGAAGTAAAGACTGGGAGTCCTGACTGGCTACTTTTTAGTTCCTATTACGTAGCCAATAAGGAACTAAAAATGTCAAGCCCTGAAAATGCAGCAATGTCCTGAAAATGTAAATTACCATGTAGGAACTTAGAAAATAGTAAAAAGGTGATTTAGGTCAGATTCAGTTTAAAACAATATTATTAGACTGAGGCCTCAAGGAGTTTTACAAATATATTTTCTTCTCTGTCTTGTATATAAAATTAGATTAAAAATACAATCACTAATTATTTAACACTTAGTATTACTAAGCACAGTATTGGAAACTCTCTATTATCTTTACCTCTCACAACAAACCCGTAAGGTAGTAGGTCTTAAACATTTTTGGTCACAGCCCCACTCACTTCCTTATATACCCTTAAAAGTTGTTGATGGCTGAAACCGGTTTGGCTCAATGGATAGAGCATTGGCCTGTGGACTGAAGAGTCCCAGGTTCGATTTTGGTCAAGGGCATGTACCTTGGTTGTGGGCACAGCCCCAGTAGGGGGTGTGTAGGAGGCAGCTGATCAATGTTTCTCTCTCATCAATGTTTCTAACTATCTCTCTCCCTTCCTCTTGGTAAAAAAATCAGTAAAATATACTTAAAAAAAAAGTTGTTGATGACCTCTAGAACTTTTGTTTTATGGATTTTATCTATCAATATTTACCATAGTAGTAATTAAAATGGAAGGATCTAAAAAAAATATACAAGCATATACTTCACCAATATTATCACAACATGTTGACTCTGACTTCACCATACACTTGTGAGAGAATGGCAGTGAGAAGGTATATAATGTCTTATTATTTTTATGAAAATAGTTCTGATCCTCCAGGCCCTCAGGGACACTATATGGGTTCCTGGACCACACTTTGAGAACCTCTGCTGTAAGGGAACAATAATGATAACTACCATTTGTGCTTTACTCCTGTTATGAAACTCTCACACTCTGTGAACTTAGTATTATCTCAATTTCCTACATAAAAAAATTGATGCAGGGAGGCTGTATCTCTTGCTAAAAGTCACATAGTTCAAATCTAGATAGGTCTGATTCTAGATAAGTTTGTTCCATCTCATTAAGCTGTTGCTCCAGAGTGGAAGGGAGAGGAAAACATGCCGTCTACAGGGGTCCCGGGAGAGGTAATACCCCCTCAGGGTAATATCTGGGCTTCAGGAGGTCCCTAGGCTTCTTCACCTTTAGGGCTACTGCTGATGTTTGCGCTGAGCGAGGATGGGCTCTTGCTCAGGAGCACATCCTCTTCCCCAGCGGAGTTCTGGGCATCCATTTTCTTCACCTCTCCTGCCGGAACCCTGGTCTCACAGAAGTTATCCCCCTGGGGTGTGACTGGTTTCCGCTGGCAGAGAGCCGGGTCTCTTGGTACCAAAAAAGCACTAGGGTCAAAACTTTCACGAGGAAATTTAACAATTTTCTGTGACTTTATCCATCGGCCATTTACAAATTGAAATCGTTTAAGATGAATAATCTGGAGAAGAAAAGGCAGAAAACACTAGGATTAGAGGGTTCCAAAGATACAAAACAGATCTTGAACATGTGAATGTTCAAGAATATATAAAATAACATTTTTTGGGGGGGAAAAATAGATTTAATTATGTAACACAGTTATCAGTAGGGCCACTGCCCTTTAGCTATATGGTTACCATGGTAATCTCCCTAATTTCATATACTCTGTATATCCGAAACTCTTTTCCAATTTCTTCAACATCCTTGGAGCCTATATTTGCATGTATCCCTCTGCTTTCTGGTTTGTGATCCACACTGATCTCTACATCTCTCCAATATCATAGAAGAAAAATGGAGTTTTTAAATTAGATGAGATTTACCCAATCTCCGACTGCACATTTCTCCTTTCCTACCATATCCTTTGATGACTACCAGGAAATTCTGAAGAGCATAAGAATCTCCCTACTTTTCTGGCTTGTCTTCTTTTCAAGAGCAATGAATTCCTCCAGATTCATAGTGTTTAAGTTCTGTAATACAGGCACAGATCTTTGGTGGCTACCTCTACACTAGATGCTTAACAATTTACTGTTAATATAAAGATAATCCCTTCTTATCCATGCTGGCGTGTGGATATCATAGAAACCCACCAAGCTCTCAGCAAAACATTTTCTCATCATTGTTTTTTATTTATTTACTTTTGGTTGTCACCTGAGGATATGTTTTTATTGATTTTTAGAGAGACAGAATGGGGGAGAGGGAGGGGGAGGAAAGGAAGAAGGAAGAAAGGGGAGAAAGAGAGGGGGGAGAAAGAGGGAGAGGGAGAGAGAGAGGAAGAGAGAGAGGGAGAGGGAGAGGCAGAGAGAGAGGGAGAAATCGATTGGTTGCTTTCCGAATGTACCCTACTGGTAATTGAACGCACAACCTTATGTTGTATGGGATAACACTTAACCAACTTAGCCACCCAAACCGGGGCCTTCATTATTATTTTTTAAAATATATTTTAAATTTATTTCAGAGAGGGAGGGAGGGGGAGTGAGAGAGAGAGAAACATCAATGATGAGAATCATCAATCGGCTTCCTCCTGCATGCCCCACATTGGGGATTGAGTCCACAACCCATATATATTAGTATATCCCGACTGGGAATTGAACCATGACCTCCTGGTTCACAGGTTGATGCTCAACCACTGAGCCATGCTGGTTGGACTCATTATTTTTTAAAGACCTCAAAAACAATTCTTATAAATGCCTTTACTCCAATCCAATACATGTCCAAGATATGTTTTATGTGATGGTTATAAGAATATATATAATTGTCAAAACTCATCAAACTAGATATTTTAAATCTATGCATTTAATTCTGTGTTAATTATAACTCAAGTAAAAAAAAAAAAAAAAAAAAAAAAAAACCAAAAAAACAAAACACTATCCCCTTCCTACCTGCATGTCCCTAAGCCTGCTCTGTCCTTCTTCCCTTCCCTCAGTTCTTTTCCCTATAGCTAGCTAGCCAAAATTATTAATTACTTGTACATTCTTCCCTTGTTGTTCTAGATTAATTTAAACTTAATCTACACTCACAGTTTTACAGAGTAGTAGGAAGAAAACATAAATAAAAAAATTCATATAAGATCTGGTTAAAATACACCACTGCCGTACAGTTACATTTATGATATCTCCACTCTTAAGGAAAAGTCTTTCTTAAATGATTTAAAAAAATTGTCACTTCAAACTCATCTGAAAAACAACAGGAGAGTTTCCTAATCCATGAAGGGAGAAGTCAAAAGTAAATAAAATTCAAAAGAATACATAAGCCCCACTGCACACGTGCGCTGTGGCCATTAGGCCCAGCACAATGGACCCTGAGGCTCCAGGCTCAGCTGTTCTTCTACAACCCACTAACGATGAGCCTAAAGCTCTCTTTCTCCCTGGAGTCAGAAGTGCTTTCACTTTCTTTTACAGTTCAAATTCACCGGGTTGTACCACTGTTGACCCTTCTTACACATTGTGTGGAATGGCAGTTACTGGTTTACATGACTTTTCTCCCCTTTTTAGTAGCCTGCTCTTTAGGAACAAGAACTAGCAAATACCTGTAGAACAATTAATTTCTGTGTGCACAGCAAAATTTTGCACAGCAAAAGTGTCTTAAGCATTGCTGAGGGGAGGGTTTTATTCTCAAAAATAACAAAAACTATTTGTTCACGACTTCTTTCCTTTTTGCCAGACTCTTGCTCTCTCTGAGGTAGGACTGTAACGTACCAGGACTGGGGGAAGCCTCCAGAGATCCAGCTTCTTGGTTGCTAAGCAGTGGGTCTTACACTTGGAGCAGTAGTACATCTCATTTTCCCCCAGCTCCTCCTCACTGGTGAAAGCACGGAGACAGTTGTCCAGATTGATGGGCTCAGCTTGTGCTCGCCGACTCTGTTCTACACTCTCATGCTCATCGACAACCTGTAAGTGGACGAAATAGGAAGAATAGGGGGAGAAGGTGAGTGGGGAAGGGAGCAAGTTTAAAATGGTCACTTGACTAGGCATAATCCTCTAGGTCAGTGGTCAGCAAACTCATTAGTCAACAGAGTGGCAAACCTTGGTTCTCCAGCCGCATGTGGCTCGCGAGCCACAGTTTGCCAACCACTGCTCTAGGTGATTGACCCTCATTTTATTCTACATGAAGGAAGAAAAAGATGGTCAGCAGGGCAGTGCAGTTGGAGGGACCAGGCCTGCAAGGGAGGGCAGTTGGGGCAATCAAGCCTGCAAGGGAAGGCAGTTAGGAGTGACCAGGCCGGCAGAGAAGAGAAGTTGGGGGTTCCTGGGCCTACAGGGAAGGGCAGGTTGGAGGGACCTAGGCCTGCAGGGAAGGGCAGTTTGGGGGGACCAGGCCTGCAGGGGAGGGCAGTTAAGGGCAATAGGCTGGTAGTGGAGTGGTTAGGGGGTGATCAGGCTGTCAGGCAGAAGTGGTAGGGGCAATCAGGAAGGCAGCCAGGCAAGCCGTTTGGAATCAGCAGTCTTGGATTGTGAAAGGGATGTCCGACTGTCCAAGCAGGGGAGTTTCAGACATCCCTCGAGGGATCCCAGATTGGAGAGGGTACAGGCTGGGCTGAGGGACACACACCCAATGCACGAATTTTGTGCACCGGGCCTCTAGTAATTAATAAACAGGCAGTGAGATACTTACTGATTGGTATGTCATGCCCAGAGAATATAACTTCTTAATTACACCTAGAATCTTGTTACAAGATTTACTTATTGTATTTTTTAACTTTAAAGGCCAGTGTGGCTCAGTTGGTTGGAGCATCATTCCATACACCAAAAGGTGGTGGGCTTAATTCCCAGTCAGGGCACATATCCAGCTTGTGGCTTTGATCCCCAGTTGTGGTGCATTAAGGAGGCAATCAATTGATGTCTCTCTCTTCTCTCTTTCTCTCTCTCTCTCTCTCTCTCTCTCTCTCTCTCTTTCTTGTCCACAATCTTAACCAATAATTTTTTTTCTTTTAATAAAGCCCAATATAATTATCTCTAGAAGTGGGAAAACGAAAACATCCATGTAATCCAAGTCAATATATTAAGTGCCATAGAGAATGCCAATGAATGTTTTTCTGGCTGTACTTAAATTGCATATAATAGAAATGGCATAATATAGTTAAACTGGGACAAATTTTAAATATAAAAACAATCATCTTGCCATGGCACTGGGTACTCACCCTTTCCTGTGATGTTTGGTAGCGGAGGTGAAGGGCTGTGGGGTCCCAATCTACAGCAATACAGGCATTTCCAATGAAAGCTTTGTCTTCCCCACAATCTATTTTACAGCCTCTGCAAAATCTAAAGACAGAAAAAAGATATACTGAGGAAGGAATAATTATGAAGGAATAATTTTTTTTTTTAATCAGAAATATTCTTCCTTCCTACAGTTCTTTTTGGGTTTACAGTTTGTCCTGGGATTCTTACTTCAGACTAATACATGCATGAATATCCTAGCTAATAAAGAGGGAATATGTTAATTGACCATCACGTCCTCAAAGATGGCAGTGCCTACAGCCACAAGATGGTGCCTGCCTCTAGAGTCCCCTGTCTCCTCAGCCTCCCAGCTGCCCAGGGCTGGCCTGAGGCACAGGCAAGCCTCAGAGGTCGGCTGCCCAGCCACCCAGGGCCACCTAAGGCTCAGGTAACCAGGGCTGGCTGAGGATTGCGCTGCTGGCAGTGGCAGCAGCAGAGGTATGATTGGGGTGTCACCTCCCACCCCTGAGGGCTCCCAGACTGAGAGGGGGGCTGAGGGACCCCCCTCCAGTGCATGAATTTTCATGCATCAGGCCTCTAGTATGTTAATAATTATTAGTATTTCAGGGAATCATGCTTATTACTTTTCAAGTCTTTGGCTTTTCAAAGTACTTGATAACCATTTATTAATTCATATAACTACATGAACTTTGTAGCAAAGAAGTACTATGGGAATTGGATATTTGAGATAATGTTGATCATAAACTATAAATTTGATGAGACGAGTTTAAAATACCAGATGTCTCAAGAGTAAAACGTATACAGACTTCACAAGGAAGAGATGATGAACAATTCCCAAATTTATTTCAACTTTTCAGTCTAAAACTGAGAAATCTTATTAAAAAGTTATAATATCTGGAGCTACTAAACTTTTTCTTTTGCAGAAGATTACTTTACCTATACCATGGGCACCAAGCACAGGAGTTCCCATCTTTTTGCACAACTCGTAGAGTGAATGGATATTGATAGCCCATACTGTCATCACTGAAACAGAACATACACCAAAGATTGTAAGAAACATTTCTGATTTGAGCAATCAACTCTTTTTCATCTTCCCATGAAATAATCCTCGGAAGGGGCATCCGTTGTCGTAGCATGCTCACATTTACAGCTCCATGCTGCTTATCCTAACCCATTAGCTGGGCCCTGTACCACCCCCACACAGGGTCCAATGCTGTATCCCAGCTTTCAGAATTATAGACATACTAGACTGTCAGAGTCTCTGAGAGAGTCCATGTGGGAGGATAAGCTAATCAAACACCAATTATCTGTCAGCCCTAATCCTATCAGAAGACTTAATTCACAGTAGGCTAAAACAATTAGATCTTTCCATGGCAAGAACATTGACACATCACAGAAGGCTGAAAGATCATGTTTTTGTTTGTTGTTTTTAGAAAAAGTGAAAGGGAGAGTGGAGGGGAAAGAGAGAGAAAAAACGATGTGAGAGAGACACATTGATTGGTTGCCTCCCACATTTGCCCTGCCCAAAGCCAGGGATCAAACCGCAACCCAAGTAAGTGCCCTTGACCAGAAATCAAGCCCTCCACCCTTCAACCAGAGGACCAATGCTCTAACCATTGAGCAAATTGGTCAGGGCTCAGAATGGTTTTTAGAGACATTGACTATATATTTAGAAGTTTTCTTTAATCAGAACCCCTGATCTGGTACATGCTAGGTAACCCTTTTCCTTTGTCTTAACTACTTAAAGCTATAAACTATATAACATTAATTTTAGAGTAACATCTTAACTTAAAAAAAAAATATGTATTGCTAAGAAGCAATGCAAAGAATATATTTTATGGCTCAGTTGGCAACTGGTAGTGGCTACCGATGGTAATGAAGCCATGATAAGGACTCACTAACTGTAACCTTGTCTTATCTAATCATCAAACGATCCCAAACCATAACAAAGTACCTGTTAGCTAATAGAACTTCTTTACTTTCTTTATTCAGTTCACAAAGAGGCAGAACTCTCATTTGCACAATTATAGCAAGAAAATGATCTACAATTCAACTGAGATATATTATAAATAAGGGACTACAATTCCAATGATTGTTAGAAGAAATACATTTAGTAATCCAATAGAATAGTGGTAGGAGGAATGGAAAGAAAACAGGTGTTTATTCTTTATTCTTATGAAATATAATAATTTATTATGAAATTATTCCATATTAAAATGACATCGTAGGGAAACAATCCAACTGTTACGGCATGAGACTTTTTCAGAATTCACGTATAGATGTGTACACTATTGCTCCCATTATGAATTTCAGAGGGTTGAGATGATACAAATTCCCTGGTGAATTCATACTTCATTTTTGCAGTAAAAGTCATAAATATTATCTGAAGCATTTAAAGCAGCAGGAGGGATTAGTGAATAAAGGATTATTAGATACTGGAATGTCTAGGTGAAAAAAGGAATCTGTATACTCTCCTACTCACAAGATCAAACCAAATGGATGAATTATATGCCCCCCTGAATGGTTCTTCAAAGAGTGTTTAAACCTACATAAAATGGGTCCTATAAGTCACACAGAATTCATATACATTCTCCTGGAGTTTGGAAACCACAGGTCTAAGCTGATCCCCTGAACTCACCAATCTTGAGCATGGTTACTAGCTTCCTGAGGTGGGAGTGGGCTGGCTAATCGAGATACTTGAATCCAAACTGAATCATATAGGTCTTTCTTCCGGGTATGCACAGTGCATGGAACAATCAGTGGCATTCCAAAGAGGCTGGGGCGATTCTTCTGAGATGACAGGAAATATAATTCTGTCCTCATCTATAAGCATAAACAAGAGAAGAGAGAACTGAGAAGAGAGGCCTCTCATTCCTCCCTTTTGTTCTTCTACAACTACCAATAACATGCATCACTATCAATTTCAAATTAGTCACTACTACTCTTTATTAACATGAAGATAAACTTACAGTGGAATCACTGGAAGGTCGAGGTGCTACCAATTTCAGTGTGGCTATCTATCAAACTTGGATTTTCAGCATTTAATATTTTCAAACTAGTTTTCTCTGATAAACATTTCATATACACACACTGAATCATATGTAAAAACTAGTAATTGTTTTGTAGCTCAAGGCTTTTAATCAATTAAAACCCTTTCTCTAGAAAGTATGGCACTAAACCAATACTCCCTCAAAATACAATTTTCAGAAAATAAGCTGATGACAACTGGAGACCTTTAGAGACTTATGAAACCAGTCATTTAATTTTGTAACTATCCTCTTTCCTAAAAGCAGCTGAATGGTTATATTTTTTAATTTTTAAAATATGTGACAAATTAAAAGGAAAAATTTAAAAATACTTGCTTTGAGTATGTTAAGTTGACATTCTTTAATAAAGATACTGCACAGAATTAGCTTGAAAATGGTTGCTTAATAAAACAAAAACTTAGTATAATAGATTGTTGGGAGTTCAGGATTATTCAAAAAAGCTCCTAAGCACTGAGACATTTAATACTTTTGGTTAGCCTTTATGTAGTAGTTAGAGAAGCCAAGTCAATAATTTATAAACTTACTAAGGGCTAGCTAGTTCCCAAGTGAAAATACTTTTATTTCTGATTCTCAAGCATTTTATTTTACAATTATTCAATTAAGCTTAGCTAAATACATGATTTTAAGGCCCTATTTCATGTGTTGGCATTATTATTATTGTTACTAGAGGTCCGGTGCAGGAAATTCATGAAAGGCGAGGTGGGGGATGGAGAATGTTCCTCAGCCTGGCCTGCACCCTCTCCAATCTGAAACCCTTTGGGGTTTAGAGTTCTTAAAATAATCTCATAATACTTAGTTTAAAAAAAAAAAAAAAAAGCCCTAGCCAGTTTGGCTCAGTGGATAGAGCATCAGCCTGTGGACTAAAAGATTCCAGGTTCAATTCTGGTTAAGGGCACATGCCTGGGTTGAGGGCTAGGTCTCTGGTAGGGGACGTGCAGGAGGCAGCCGATCAATCACTCTCATCACTGATGTTTCTATCTCTCCCCCTCCCTCTCTAAAAGTAAAAAAAAAAAAAATATTAAAAAAGAAAAAGATGTGGGGAAATGTATGAATCACCCAATTATTTTAGCTAATGGGACCTGTAGGAACTTTTCAAATCACAAATGTATCCTGTAATTCTGTCGGCTATTCACTCATACAATTCTGTCTAAAATATGGTCCATAGAACATCATCTACATAGAAACTCACTTTAGTCAAGAATTACTAATTCAAAGAATTAGCAAAAATCAAACATCTATGTAACCACGAGTCAGGTCAACAAATAGAATATAACCAACACTCCAAAAGCCGCCCTCTTGCTTCCTTTCCATCACAAATTCTTCCTTCCTTCTAAAGGAAGTTGGAAGGGGTAAGAAAGAATTATCCCCTAAAGCCTTTGAAGGGAGCACAGCCCTGTTGAGACCTTGATGATGGACTTTTGGCTTCCAGAACTGTGAAAGAATAAATTTGTTGTTTTAAGCCACCAAGTTTGTGATAATTTGTCACAGCAGTCCTAGGAAACAACATTGCTTGTCCAAAACATTTTTGGTGCCCTTCCACCTCCAAGCAAACAAATAAACAAAACTTTCTCCAAAGACATCCATACTTATATGGTAGAGAAGATGTACTTACCTACATGAACTTACCTATAAGAGGCACACACTTTTAAAAGAAAATAGTATGTACTACTACTATTCTGTTGCTGCTTAAAAATGAATGAGAAATGGCATTTCATACACAGGCTATGATCCCTTACAATAGCATACATAACTCATTGAAAGTGTACAAAAAGAAAATTTTGCAAAGATAGAAAAATGGATGTCTCACAAATGACACTGGCAAGACCAGCAGTCACTTGCCTAACATCAAACTAACCATTTTTCGGTGGACTGCAATGATGTAACCTGTAAAGGGATTGTCAGGAAAAGATGGCATATGACCATTCACCATTCCATTTGTTAAGATCTTCTCAGTTCCACATGGCACAATAGTGTTTGGCATTCCATTGGGGATGAATATTGATCGGGGCAGGTCCCCATTGGTGGTTAAGGTTAACATTCCATTTGTGGATGGGGAAGAGGAGATATCTACAAATTCAAAGATAAATACAGCACCATAAACTTATGGTACTTCCTATTTTTTCTCTCTCAAATATTGTGAGGATCTAAACTACTGATAGTAGTCTCTTTTAACCAAGGACAATAAGAAATTATAGTTCGCATAACAATTCTAGATTGATCAGAAGATTTTAATTTCCGATTTTACTTCTATAACTCACTCTTAAGACTAAATGGCAAAGAAAGATTAACTTCTGGAAAGTGTAAGTCGAATTTTTGCAGAAACCTTTATTAGCACCATGTTGTGGCACCCAAACAGTTCTACCACTTTTATTTTCCTCTCCTCTAAAAATTAATTTCTCCTTTCCTCTAAAAATGTTCTGTCAAGTGTGACAGTCTCCAGCCAGAGACTAGAATCTTTTTCTTTTAATTATTTTATTTTTTTTTTAATTTATTTTTTAGAGCAATTTTAGATTCATAGCAAAATAAAGAAGGTACAGAAATTTCACACATATCCCTTGACCCTACACAAGCATAGCTTCCCCCCTGACAACTCTTCTTCCAGAGTAGTACACTTGTTATAAAAGATATTGCTTTTTAAATTAAAATGAAGTACATTTCCTCAGTCTCATAAGTCACATTTCAATGGCTCAACAGTCCATGTGTCTAATGTATATTGCATTGAATTGTCAAGATTACAGAAAATTTCCATCACTGCAGAGAGTTCTATTGGCCAGTGAAGATCTCAATTAAAAGAATTATTAGCCGAAACCGGTTTGGCTCAGTGGTAGAGCGTCGGTCTGCGGACTAAAGGGTCCAAGGTTCGGATTCCGGTCAAGGGCATGTACCTTGGTTGTGGGCACATCCCCGGTAGGGTGTGTGCAAGAGGCAGCTTGTCGATGTTTCTCATCGACGTTTCTATCTCTCTATCTCTTTCCCTTCCTCTCTGTAAAAAATCAATAAAATGTCAAATTAAAAAAAGCATTATTAAATCATCTACCCATCAGTCTTATCTATTTAGTGCCAATCAGAGAAGTACTTTATAATTGCAAAATGGACCTAATTATCAACAGTATAAAAAAGAATAAACCGTATCAAAGGCAAAAAGATTCATTAGATGACCATATTAAATCATATGCAAATATTTGATAAGCAAACTCCTTTTTAGTCATATTGATTATCATGTTTTCTGATAGTATACTCCTCTCACACCAGCTATTGCCATGTTAGTATTAGGTAAAAGAGCAAAAAGAGATCTGAATTCCAGTGGTAAATTAACTCATAACTAATCTACTTAACTTAGTTACTTAGGTTCTCTGAATTCTAGGATCCTCATCTAAAAATGAAGAATTTGAGCCAAATCACCACAAAAGTTTCCTTCAGTCTCCAATATTCCTTTGCTGTAATATCCTCAGCCCAAACAAATATAAGAAGGATGATAACTCAGCCCAGAATTTAAAGCTGAAATCAGGGAAAGAAGCTCTAGTTCTACCATACCTGTCAGTATTGGACTAGAAGCTGAAACTGGAGATCCAGGGATGGGAATTTCAAATGCACACAAAAATCCACTCACTGAGAGTCGTACTTTTTGGTTGTCCTGAGGGAAATTCTATAGAAAAAGAGACAAGGTGAGAGATGTTTCAGATAAGATGGAAAATGAACTCTATGATATATTTGAAGCGAATGTCTTAGATGTTTTTATTACTAAATAAACAAGATGAATGAACAATATTTCTCAAATCACTAAAAGATGAAAACTTGATAAGTTAAGGGCACTGATAAAACCATTATCTATCCCTTTCCACATAAAGGAAATATGTTGTGTATAACTGGTCTTTAAGTTTTGTCCTTCAATTCAGGCATCTAAACCCAATACTCTAAGAGATCTCACTTTTGCATTACATATGAACAAAATGTCAATAAGGTGGGGGAGTTTGTTCAGAAACCCCAAAGATAAATATAAATAATACCAATGGTACGAGCTCAATTTAGGATTGGCAATATATTTATTAAATTGCTTGTTTCTCCAGCTGGAATTCAGGAGGAAGTGATTTGTGTCCATTTATTTTTACTCTTTAAATTCTTAGTGTGTTAAAGGCCAACTATACATATCCTATATAATAAAAGCCTAATATGCTAAGAGTCCAGTTGACTGGTTGGCCATTCAATTAATCAAATCATAATATGCTAATGATATACTAAGGCTGGTCAACTGCTTGCTATAACATGCATTCACCACCACGGGATAGACACTCTGACTGGTAGGTTAACTTGCTGCTGAGGTCTGACTGAGGGAGATGGACCAGACACACCCTGGAGCCCTCCTACCCTGGAGCCCTCCTGTGGTCCCTCCCCAGCTGGCCAACTTTCTGCATCTCTTCCAGTCTGATCGTGCACAGGTGGGGTCTCTTGGCCTGGCCTGAGCCCTCTTGCAATCTGTGACCTCTTGGGGAATGTCAGAGAGCTGGTTTCAGCCTGATCCTCCAAGCCAGGCTGAGGGACCCCACTGGTGCACAAATTCATGCACTGGGCCTCTAGTTAATAAATAAATACTAAAAACACACATTCATAAATACATAAAATACTTTAACCTAGAATAATTCTGATGACAATGGTAATACAGAAGAGCTGCCAAGCACAGCAGCAGCAGTCACTGGAGGACATCTACCGTAGTAACACAGCTAGGTCACTCTATGTAGGCAGCCTTGGTTTACATAATTCCCTTCTTTTAAAAATACCAACATGGCCCTAACTGGTTTGGCTCAGTGGATAGAGCGTCGGCCTGAGGACTAAAGGGTCCCAGGTTTGATTCCAGTCAAGGGAATGTACCTTGGTTGCAGGCACATACCCAGTAGGGAGTGTACAGGAAGCAGCTGATCAATGTTTCTCTCTCATCAATGTTTCTAACTCTCTATCTATCTTCTTTCCTCTCTGTAAAAAAATCAATATACTATATATATTTAAAAATATCACCATGATTATTAATCCTTTATTCTGGTAGACAATTCTTTTAAATTTCTGGGATGGAAAAAAAAAAAAAAATTTTTCTGGGGGGGAGATTTTTATGTTTATTTAAGCTAAACTGAAAAAACATGTTGGGGAGCAAGATCTCAAATGTTCTAGAGAATGGTATGGAAGACTTGACAATTTTTTTTGTTCAGTTGTTGCATTTTAATATCTTGCTCAGTCACTTAACATCATAATTAATGGAGAAAACTGTTTTTTGAAGGACAGAATCAAGGGTTTCCTACAAAGAATAGGTAATATTACCTTTATGTTGGAACCATGTACTTCTGCAAGAAGGATTTGTTCTGATTTAAGTCCACAGAGATCACTCAGCTGTTTTTTTAAACCTGTGTACTTTTCATCCATATTCAGTCTTAGTCCATAACGTACAGGGGTAGTACCATCCAACTTAATAACTAGTAATGAGAAAAGATCTATTATCAATAAAATGTGTGTGTGTGTCTATGACTTGAAAATGACAAACATTTCAATCTAGAATTTTTATTTTATATGCAAACACTACAATAGATGATATGTAGGGATTATATTAAAATAGTTTTATTTTTTAAAATGCTTATCTGATATGGAAATGTGAGTGGCTTTGCAAGATTTTAAAGAGAGTTTCTGGCATATCTAAAACTAACAGAGGAGTCAACAAGTACAAAAATGGACCTATGTTCCAAGTCTTACAAACCTTAAATCATGTCTGAAATTAGATTGCTATATTATAACAGGCTATCATTTTTATGAGAATGCATTATAAACAAATTACCATACTTACAAATTCAGGCTGCTTGAATAAGGTAAAAGACAATGGAGTTAAATGTTTTTTCAGAACTTTATAACCTACCTGTTATTTCTAAGTGCATATAACTGTCCATTGGTAGCGGCAAAGACAAAAAATTGAATGGGTCAAATCGAACACTTATATGACCACATGTCTTGCATTTGACTTGGGACCTTAACTGCCCATGAAACAAATCTACAACAATTGATCTATTCCTTCTCAGATGGTTTTCCCAGGCCTATCAAGAAAAAAGATTAGAGAAAAATTTTTTTGAAAATTCAGAAGAATAGTATTTTTACACAAATTCAAAGAAACTAGTTAAATGAGATTTAAATGTTAAGAATATAATCTTTCACAGTCATTAAAAATATAAAAACCTTCTGCCTACAAACATAATTCAGATAGAAAATTAAAAAATGTGATTCTCTCTGTTCAACCTATAAAATATTAAATTCAGATGGAAAATCTTATTATTTTCTTTGTTCTTAGCATGGTAATGATGATGATTATTAGAGTTCTTTGTCCATTAAAAAGGAAATAAAATGTGCCTACTGGTCACTGTACACATTACTTTAGCAATTATGGAGATTCTTAAAGTTACTGAATAAACATCCTCTCCCAAAAGTGTATAATGTAAAAAGGCAACATTTTTCTATTTTCATTTAAGGCTGCTTTGTTTTGGCATTACTGCACAAAAACTAAGAAGAGAAATAAAAATTCCTTTCCTTTCCTTTTACTGATCACAGAATTTAAGTTGTGCAACATACATTTGTGGCCGGAACATTTAACCTATTGCTTACAGTAGAAACTCAAAACTGACAAACCTCTGCAGCCACTTCCCAGTCTGGCCGGCCATTGCTGTCCTTCAGTTCTACATATGGTTTCTCATGGACTCGGTTGAGATCTTCATGAAGGCCATCCAAGAGAAAAGCCAGAAGTTCTTGGGAGTCTTGTTGCTGGAACCCATTAAACCTGGGAGCATATTTTGCTATGGTCCACTATAAGAAAGAGTTGGAAGTATATAAATTATTTGCTACACCATAATATTTGGAATGAACATGCCTCATCATTCAACCAGAGGCATTATAAGAAAGTAAATAGAGTATGGTATTTAGTCTGTCTCTATTTTAGCAAATATATTTTGGATAATCATGAAAGCTTTCTAATCTTAATCTCAAATGACCAAAAGAAAAAAATGTATTTTGGCCAACACTATATCCCAATTCAGCATCATAGAAGCAAACAGTTCTTTAGATACTCAGATGTTATTTAAAACAGGTAAGGCAAAAATATTAAAATAGCATTCGTTCACATCAAAAGTTCCTATTATAATGTTTTCTTTTACAGTTAATTTTTCTGGTTTTGTTGCATCTGAACTGTTATTACTAGAGGCAGAACAGATTCATGTTTAACTGTGAGAACTTACAAACTAATTTGCAACCTTGGGCAAGATATTTAGCTGCTCTGAGCCTTAATTTCTTAGCCATAAAATGGGGATAATAATATCGCTGTTGTATTATAGGGCCATATAGAAAATTAAATGAGTTACTATACATAAAATAATGAGAACAGTGCCTGGTAAGTGGTAGTCAAATTTTTAGCTATTATATTATTCATTTATAACCTAAAAACATTTTGCCTTGTTTTAAAATAGAGGTAAAAACAATCCTAGCCTTTGCTGGTTTGGCTCAGTGAATATAGCATTGGCCTGGGAAACTGAAAGGTCCCAGGTTCGATTACAGTCAAGGGCACATGCCAGGGTTGTGGGCTCGATCCCCAGTGGGGACTTGCAGGAAGCAGCTGATCCATGATTCTCTCTCATCATGGATGTTTCCATCTCTTTTTCCCTATCTAAAATCAATAAAAAATTATATTTAAAAAACAAAACAAAACAATCCTAACTTTACTAAAAGTTACTAAAAGTGACATTAATATAAAAATCTACCCATTAATATTTTTTCTGCTACTTTAAAAAATTCTACAGCTAGAACTTATTATCACAATAATATTAAAGATGTATTGAGTATCATTAATTAGACTTGGGTCTATTTTACAGTTAGAATATTTCTAATAGTGATAAATTAACAAAGAAAGGTTTACTATGTGTGTGTATATATATGCGCAAGATATTTGATGAATTGGTAAAAGAAACAACATATCAAATTTAGATTGTGCCTTTGATCTCTCCCTACCTACTCACTACATCTATAGTTGTATTTTATTTTTTTCTAAAGCTGTATTTTGCATATATTTAAACAAGTAAAAGTATATGACATCCAGTATATACCATGTGAAGCATCCAAAAACATGAATTACACTAAACAAAAAAAGCTAAACATACAAAATATGTAAAGAAAAATAATTACATAAACAATTATTTAGGAGTTAAAAACATGTATATTATTTTAACTGCTTACCCGAAGCTTTAATGGGGCGACATTCTTCTGAGTTCCACTCCAAAGTTCCTGTACTAAATCCCCATAGCATTTAGCCATATGCCCCTTCATACCAATGGGATTTGTCCTAGAAGTTTTGAAAGAAAAATTTGTTGCCAAAGATTCTAATCAATAACAATCATATGGGATTAAAAATACCTAGTTATCTGTTTTTTCACATTAAAACATCTTTTTAAAATAAGAGACTTATCTCCTGGCCCTTAATTAATACTAAATAGAGAAAATAAGGTAAGACTTTTCTTTACCATGGTAAAGAGGAAATTCAAGTGATACTGAGTTCATATCATAGTTGTAAACAGTTAAGAGGCCAATAACTCAAGAAAGATTACCTGTTCAGTTCATAAAGATGTCTCCCTGAGATAAAATACTGTGTCAGTGGCTGTGTGTTACTAACACACTGGATGCTTGAATTCATGAAGCATGTGTTTCCCAGGTTACTCAGACCTGTGGCTCCCTTTTCTGTGGGAACTGGAGGAACAAACAATATGAGAACTGAAGTCCAACTGTAGTAAAATGTCATAGACCAAACAGTAACTTATATTCGATACAAATTTTTGTAACTTTTTAAATCAGCTAAATGAAGCTAACATTTCTCTATTTAGTCTTGCAGTGCTGAAGTAGAGGAGTGTCACTGGCAATCCTGATAATCCAATGCTCATTTGTAATCTAGAAGCAGCAGTGATTTTCCATAATTGTTATTGGTGTTTTTTCTTTTAAATTCAAACAATTCTCTCCTAGTATTCTCTCTCTCTTTTTTATATTTAATTTATCCTTTTGTTGAAAGTATTACAGATGTCCCCTCCCCCACTTCTTTGGCCTCCTCCACCCCCTAGTATTATATTTTTTAAAATATATATAAATTAGCCCAGCCCAGTGATTGAGCATCAACTCATGAACCAGGAGGTCCTGGGTTGTGGACTTGATCCCCGTGTGGGGCGTGCAAGAGATAGCCAATTGATGATTCTCTCTCACCACTGATCTTTCTATCTCTATCTCTCTCTCTCTCTCCCTTCCTCTCTGAAATCAATAAAAATATTTACATATATATGTAAACACACACACACACACACACACACACACACACACACACACACACATATATATATATATATATATATATATATATATATATATATATATATATATATATAAATTAGATCTTTCTTAGGTTATCTGTGAAAATGAACTGTGGACCTATGAGGGCTGTATCCTTTGCTTTGCATTTTTTTATGGAAGTGTTTTGCTCCCCCACTTAGGTCATAAAAGGCTTATTGGTTGAGTTGCTACAAATCCTACCATTACTAGCCAAACAGTGCATGTCTTGAATTGAAAAAAAAATTTTTTTAAAAATATATTTTATTGATTTTTTACAGAGAGGAAGGAAGAGAGATAGAGAGCCAAAAACGTTGATGAGAGAGAAACATCGACCAACCGCCTCCTGCACATCCCCCACCGGGGATGTGCCTGCAGCCAACGTACATGCCCTGACCGGAATCGAACCTGGGACCCTCAGTCCGCAGCTCTACCACTGAGCCAAATCGGTTTTGGCTGAATTGAAAAAAAATTTTGGATTGGAAAAATACTGGTATTAAAAATACTAGCCCTTAAGACAACCTTAATAAGATGGAAAGGCAGAAGGAAAAGTTAGAGAGTTCCATAAAAGGTGGAAAATTTTAAAAGTTTATCTATCTATCTATCTATCTATCTATCTATCTATCTATCTATCTATAAAAGCCTAAGTGACCAAATGACTGAACCACTGGTCGCTATGAGGCGCACTGACCACCAGGGGACAGATGCTCAATGCACAGGATTGGGCTCCCTCCTGTCTGGATTGGGCCAGCAGGGATCTGGCTCCCTACTGTCTGGATCAGGCCTGAGGGGATCAGGCTGAAACCCTCTATCTGATCCCACTATCACTATCCCCTGAGGAGTCCCGGATTGTGAGGGTACAGGCCAGGCCAGATTCGTGCACGGGGCCTAGTTTAAATATAAGGAAACTTATTCATCTTAGAGTAGTTTTGAAAATTATATCTTTGCAAGTGGTAGTAATACATTTACATTTTTCTCCCTGCCTTATCCCTCCAGAATTTGGAAACTTAGTGACCACTTGCACCATGATTAAGAAGGCCCTCACCTTGTTTACCAGGTTCATCCTGACTGTGACTTTCCCTGCATCATTCCCACACAATATCAATGACCTAGACATTAATATGGACCAAGACTCAACCATTGATGTGTATTTGGATAGCACCTTGGATTTTAATTTCTTTACTGATATGAAATACCAGCTTTAATATATATATATATATATATATACACACACACACACACACACACACACACACACACACATATTGATTTCACAGAGGAAGGGAGAGGGAGAGAAATATCAATGATGAGAGAGAATCATTGATCGGCTGCCTCCTATAGCATGTGCCCTTGACCAGAATCAAACCTGGAACCCTTCAGTCCTCAGGCTGATGCTCTATCCATTGAGCCAAACCAAAGAGGGCACAACACCAGCTTTTAAAAGAAGTCACTGAGGCCATGGCAAGTGTCACTGGTAATTATTCAGAAGAGCCCATGACTGGAACACCAGATGAGTTCAGCTCCTCCATGGAAAGGAATGAGTTCGTCTCAGTGCTTGTTTTAAAGGAAACAAATGTTCTGCTAGCAGTGTCCACACTATGCTACTTACTATTTTCAAAACTAGTGAAACATAGCATATATTTCTCAGCCTAAGAGAAAAAGCAAGGCGTTGATCCTAGGCTGAGTGGAGAAAAGTTGACATAATTTGGGGGAGGGACATATCCTATTTATAATGAGCTCAATAAATGTTCATTTATATTGAAAAATATACAGATATAAATTGTATAATTGGAAGGCTAGAAAGAAATTCGGTATATTAGGAAAAAGAAAAATAAGAACTAGAAAGTCAAAAGTTGTTAACACTTTAATTGTTGAGAGAGGGGGTAAAATCTATTTGATAAGATACTCTATTTGAAAATAATATACTGGAGACTTACCCTTGTGTCTGTCTATTTTACTACTGTTTGCTATAAAGGACATTTCCTCAGGCCAACTCATATCTTTGTTTCGAACTAGAAAGACAGATAGAAATGTGTTAATTTCTTATCCATTGAAATCACCTCAACTACTTCTGTTTAAAAAAATGTTATTTTTAAATCAGAAACTATAAAAAAAGTTATTTTTAGTATTTGATTCTGAAACCATTCTGATTCTTTATATGGGGAACTTTATAGTCAGTTGGTTAGAATTAATTAGCAAGCTATTCCCTCAATTACCTACCTGAAGTAAAATTATACTCAACCATTTAGAGAAGTATTTAAAGCTCTTAAAGTTAATACATTAGAACTATTACAGTTCTTTCTTAAATAGTGACAACTATGAGAATAGCTTATTCATTTTAATACAAATGATGTGTTAGTTTTCAATGATGTGTATAAATCTATGTGTGAATATACAAGGAAGCTCTGTTGATACGAGACCAGTGTTGATGACTAATGAAAGTCTATGCCATGAACTATGCAAGAAAATTAGTCTCCTTATTTACCCTCAAAGAAGCATGTTGAAAATTTAAGATACTTTGTAAACTTGTAACTAAATACCCATTTCCACCTTTTGCCAGACAATTAATGTAGGCATATTTTCTTTTAAAGTAATCTAAATAGTATATAGGATTATATAAGGGTTGAATGGGTATTCTTTACTATAAAGCAGGTCACCAACCTTTCGGACCTCATGGACCATCAGTGGTCCGTGGACCGCCAGTTGGTGAACGCTGCTATAAAGAATATAATGATCAAACAGAAAGAATTAAAAAAAAAAAAGAATGACCATATAAAAGTTAGAAAAATTATAAAATAGTTTATTAGTGAGTAACTAAATCTTTAAATTTTCCCCCTAAAAAAATCTAATACACGTATGTAATGCTTCCTTCTTGTACCTTCAATTACCAGGTGCTGTTCATCTTGAATTTTCAAATATTCTAATCTATGATCTTCATCATCCAGAAGAGTAAGGTAATTCTGTGTATGGAACAGAAAATGTTTCTGTTAATTTAAAAAACTTATAACAAATCCTATATAATAAAAGGTTAATAAGCAAATCAATTGGCTGCTATAATGCACACTGACCACCAGGGGGCAGATGCTCACCACAGGAGCTGCTCCTGGTGGTCAGTGTGCTCAGCCAGAAGAAGCCAGGCTCATGCTCCCACCTCTGTGACAGTGCTAACAAATATCTACATGTATGCAGACAGTCAGACATCTCTAGAGGGTGACGGCTGGGCTGAGGGATCCATTTTTATTATGGAAATAAAAATGAATAACAATTAAAAATGCTCAATAAATGTTCAGTTTGGCTCGGTGGATAGATCGTCGGCCTGTAGACTAAAAGGTCCCGGGTTCAATTCTGGTCAAGGGCATGTACCTTGGTTGTGGGCACATCCCCAGTGGGGGGTGTGCAGGAGACAGCTGATCAATGTTTCTCTCTCATTGATGTTTCTAACTATCCCTCTCTGTAAAAAATCAATATATTTTTTAAAAATAAAAATAAATAAAAATGTCCTTGTAGTTACATAACTTACATGACAGATATTAGGCATTCTATAGTTGTTAAGAAATGCTTATGATATAGCTGGTATAATGAAGGAAAACCAATGTATACTTCATAAAATGTACTTTTTATCTTTAGAACAAGATTATATAGAATTTGGGGGGGGACCAGAAGACTCATCACAGATCAAACCTAGTGCGAAATTCAGTAAACGTGCCTGTAACAAAGATGGAAATTGATCACTTATTGGGAACTAAAAATGTGAAACCAAATGTCATATAGGAGAATTACACATTTTTGTTTATGCTTACCCTGTCCAAAATGTTTGCACAATTAATTCATTTAATTCTTACAACTTCCCTAAGGGAGATACTATTATTTCCCCCATTTACTCATGAGAAAACAGAGATAGATTTAAGTGACTTTCCCTTGGTTATATAAACTAGCAAGTTATATAACAAGCTTAATCCCTGGCAGTTTGGCTCCAGGAGTCCATGCTCTTAAACTATTATACTATACTGCCTCTCAATGGTGACCAAAGTAGGATGTAAAAAAGAAGGAACTATGGAATAGAGAATTGGTTAAGACTACTTATAATCCAATTTCATATAATAATCTGAAAACACAATGCATATTAAGCAATTAACACACTACCTCTGAGAATGAAAGGGACCAGAGAATGATAAGGAAGAATATTAGCTATATTATTTTGTACTGTTTGCATTTTTAAAAAATATATTCTATTGATTTTTTACAGAGAGGAAGGGAGAAAAATAGAGAGCTAGAAACATCAATGAGAGAGAAACAACGACCAGTCGCCTCTTGCACCCCCCCCACCGGGGATGTGCCCGCAACCAATGTACATGCCCTTGACCGGAATGAACCCGGGACCCTTCAGTCTGCAGCCCGACACTCTACCACTGAGCCAAACCAGCTTCGGCTTGTTTGCATTTTTTGAACATGAAAATGTTAGTTCAAAACAAATAAAAAACAAACTTATAATTTGGAGAAAATAAACTCTATGTAGTTGAAAAAATATATTTTCTATTATTTTATAACAATAATCCTTATAAGATGGTACTGTCCATGATAATCAGGTGGTATAGATTTCAGGTAACAAATATCTACATGTAAGCATATAGTAGTTTAAAAGATGACGTTTTTGCCCTAGCCGGTTTGCCTAGTAGTCAGCAAACTCGTTAGTCAACAGAGCCAAATATCAATAGTACAAAGATTGAAATTTCTTTTGAGAGCCAAATTTTTTAAATTTAAACTTCTAACGCCACTTCAAAATAGACTCGCCCAGGCAGTGGTATTTTGTGGAAGAGCCGCATTCTGCCGACCACGGGCCTAAGTGAACAGAACATCAGCCTGTGGACTGAAGAGTCCAGGTTTGATTCTGGTCAAAGGCATGTGCCCAGGTTACAGGCTTACTCACCAGTAGGGGGCATGAGAAGTCAACGAATCTCTCTCATCATTGATGTTTCTATCTCTCCCTCTTCCTTCTTCTCTAAAATCAATAAAAATATATTTAAAAAATAAAAATATAAAATAAAAGATGAAGTTTTCACTGAGATCCTTGGAATAGTTTTCAGCATAATTACTGTTGACAAGATCCTATGCTCACAAAATATGGATTTAACACCTGATGGCTGCATGGAGATGCCTTCCTGGCTCTGAGCGCCTCTTACCTCACTGTTGTAGAGCCACAAGCGCATGTCTTCCTCTTTGATGCGTAGCCTCTGAGACAGATACTCATGAATTTCCTTGATGGTCTGCATTCTACTAAAACAGCCTGTATAGGCTAAGACCCGCTTTAATGGTGCATTTGGAGAAGGAACGTTTCCTATAGTCATAGTAATCACAATAAGGAAAAGATAGATGTTAAGAAGTAAAAAAATAAAAGCACCCCTTTAGCAATGGAGACCACAGTATTTTAGAAAATAATGATGAAAAATGAGAATTAGAGGTTAATAATTTTATAAATTGAGAAGCTTTAAGATGAAGACAGGAGACCCAAGTATCTTAAGAGTCCAAAGCCTTAACTTTGAAAGAAGACAAAAATCACAAAGATCCAAATAATTGGCAGTTCTCAGATCCCAGAAGAGTGGAAAATATAAACAAACAATAGTCCCTCAGCTGGGTCACACTTAATAGTAAAAGAAAAATTCAGCATACAAGTGGAGAAGTTAAATTGGGACTGGATTTGAATTTCACAGATACATAATTGGCTTCACGTGATGCACTTTCTTCAAACATATTCTTTGAATTATTAACTCCATCATTCTCTGTCATTAAGTGCCCCAAATACCTGGCACACTGGTACAATTACATGATTTTACTTAAAATTCTAAGTAGGCATAGATTCTATGTGACCAAATGTACCTTCAAGAATCTTCCTAGGACCAAAAAAAATGCCCTATTAAAAGGCCTAAGGAGGTAAAAATCATATGACCTGCCTGCCAAATAAGATGGCAGTAGACATGACCTTGAATTTCTGAAAGACATGGAAACAGAAAGAGAGGCGTTAAGGGGGAAGAGTGAAGAGTGAAGGAAGAATATGTTAAAGTCTTACCATACACTTCAAAAGAAGGGAGATAAATGATAAGAAATTATTGGTTAAACTATTTAGACAAAAACTGAGACAAAACTACAGCTTAAAATGGTCATCTCTTATCTATGGGAGGTTATAGTTTATTGAGAAACCCAAAACTAAAATAAACTTAACATATGGATATAACCTATCTAGGATAGAATTATACATTCCAGGTAGTTTTCCACACATTCAATGGTGACTTAGTTTTATTCTTATTAAATGCACTTTGAGTCTTCTCCTACTAAGTAAAGCAGAAAAGTGTATAGGCATCATCTGCATTTTATAGAGCTCCAAAAAGAATCCACCCACCTAAAACAGGCTGAAAAAATCATATAAGAAACAATGACTTCTGTAGCATTGTCTGTCAAAAAGGCTATGTTTAAGTCATTATAACTGTGGCAAGCTTTGTTTACTTGTCACTACTAAAGGAATAAAAGAGCCTAGTAAACAGCTATAATAAACAGAGTAATGAGAAACCAGAACAAAACCCAACCATGATCAATTTTAAACCCATAGCAAAGCTAATCTTTTACTATAAGCAAGCAAAGGACAATCACTAAAAGAAAACAAAAGAGCAAATTTCTCTAATTATACATCAGAGGATTAGTTATAAGATTACAGCAAGAAAGCATATTTTCATAAACATCAAAATGATTATTGATTGATTTCACAACTAATTAGTAAGGAATAAAATTTCAAATTAAGAATGAATTTGGAGCATAATATCTACCTAGTTTAGGATTTAGAAACATTTGCAAATGTAGTGTCCAAGTCAATTTCTATTATCCTAAGCAATATAAGAAATTTATTTGAATTCTAGACAGTTTTTATAGCATAGCTCATTAAGTAGGCAACCACTTATACAAAATGTTGTGCTTTTGAATAGCATCAACAAATCTAGTGGAATTTACAGAGCAGCAAAAATCTAGGATCAGCACAAGAGTTGCAAAGAATATTTACTAAAGCCTAATAACACATTTTGTCTCATGTTATCTTTTAAGGAGAATTGAAAAAGGTATGTGCTATGGATGCCATGAAAGCAAGGCAAATACTTTTATTCATAAAAAATTAAATCAAGAAAGTTTCCTAGAGATTCTATTTCACTGTTCCTTGATTTTGATGTTTTCCCCAAAGACAAAGTTTGATTAGGCAGAGGCCACCGTTATGCTATAATTCTTACCAAAAAAATATGTGTAAGAATCTCCATATGTTATTTGAATATAACCTTCAAGGAAGGCATTAAATTAATCCTACTTGATTTCAAAGGAGAGATGGTATATTAGGGTAGGTTTGAGTTCATAGGTAGTTCTTACATACTAAATTATGCTAATTTTAATAACATTGTGGAATTGTTAACACAAAGTCTAAGACGAATTCATTATTTCTGCTGAAGAACGATTTTGAATATTTGCAAAGCAAAAACATAGAGCGAGTCCTGCCTATCAATAAAACTTAACTTTGCCTGTCCAGTGTGGTCCAGTGGTTGAGCATTGACACATGAACCAGGAGGTCACGGTTTGATTCCAGGTTAGGGCACATGCCTGGGCTGTGGGCTTATTCCCCACCACGGGACATACAGGAGGCAGATGATCAATGATCTTGATGTTTCTATACCTCTCTCCCTCTTCTTTCCTCTCTCTGAAATCAATAAATCATATTTTTTAAAAATAAAATAAAAATAACTTTATAGAGAAATCAAAGGGGAGCTATTTACATATAACACATTAAAATTGGAACTTATTTGTCATTTTGATAGGCTTCATTTGTTTTCAAAAATATATCCTTTGTTATCTGTGCCTCATACGATACAGGCTCCTAAGACTGAGCATGAAAAATGTATCATGTTTTATATAGTGTAAAAAACAAAAACAAAAAAACACAAAAAAACTAACCCAAGATACACCAGAAATATTAAAAACAAACAAACATGATACTGCCAAAGAAACCACTTCTAAAAATTTGAGTGGAGTTGAAAAGAGAAGTCATTGACTGGTTGACTCTAAATTAGGTCAAACAAGTAATTTATAATGGCTTGTTCTCAAAGAAGGTATGTAAAATATATTTGTATTTATTATGGGTGTATAGTTTACAAACCAGGAGAGGAAACGAGCCTTCCCAGTTTTGCTGCTAAGATTTTTCCCTCTAACCCATCTAGTCTTGCGCATGACCATAGATCTAAGCCCCACAAAGGATTTACTGGTACAGTGGCACCAGACTTTGAGCAACTTGGTTTTATTTATTTTTTTTAAGAAAATGCATGATATTCTTGCTGCATTCTTAAGTTACCTCTTGGTAAATGCTGAGGAAACATTCTCAGGCTCATCATACCCATATTCACCCAGATGTTAGACTGCTGTGTTCGAGTGGCAGGCTGCTGTCTCAGGAATAGAAGATATCGAGGAAATAATTCCAGTTCTGGGATTTCTGTCTTGCTATTCTTGATCACCTGTTGTTTTAAAATATATAAAGTGATTACTGTAAAAGAAGAAACAAAACTTGCAACTTTTTTTAACTTGAGATTTAGTTTTTGTGTTTTTTTTTAAATATATATATTTTATTGATTTTTTACAGAGAGGAAGAGAGAGGGATAGAGAGTTAGAAACATTGATGTGAGAGAATCATCGACCAGCTGCCTCTTGCACAACCCCTACTGGAGATGTGCAACTAAGGTACATGCCCTTGACCATAATCGAACCTGGGACCTTTCAGTTTGCAGGCCGACACTCTATCCACTGAGCCAAACCAGTTTCGGCTGATATTTAGTTTTAAAATCTAAAATCTTCAATAGGTTTGCTATTTATTTTTCAGTTAGATTACAGAAATTCATAGAATTAAATTACATGGATTTAAAAACACCCAAGTTTCTGCTCCAAAATCTATCTTCTAAGATTAGAACTCCTGTGGGTATTTCCCCCTTTCATTTAAAGTCAGTAATATCAAAATTAAATGATTTAGATATTGTTCGGCTGGTGTCACTTACTGGTTGAGCATTGACCTATCAACCAGGTTGAAGTTCAGTAGCAAACTCAATCCTTAGAGTAGGATTGAGGCAGTTGAGCACTCATTTCTTTCATCATTGATGTTTCTATCTCTCCCTCTCCCTTCCTCTCTGAAATCAATAAAAATATATGTATTTTTTTAAAACTTAATTAACTACAATTTACTGCCCTCACATCATAACTCTTTTCACTTTTATATAGTTTATATATATATAAATGATGGTCTTTTAAAGGGAAAATTCTTAGGACTGAGATTACAGGTCAAAAAGTATGGAAGTATCTATGCCATTGATTATATAGGTCATATTGCCACTCAAAATGTAGTAATTTACAATATTCCAAGAAATGTATGAAGGTACTACTCCTATAAAATCTTATTATCGACATCATTTAAAAATACCCTATTGGTTGATTACATATAAAGAGTACTATACATTTACTTAAAACTTTCCTGTATTAGTAGTAAGGATAAAAAACATTTATATAATATTTGCTATCTATGTTCTACTGTGTAACTGGAAATGATTACATATCTTATCTATGCAAAACCTTTCTGATATAAGAATGTAAAGAGTCCTGCTGATGGTAGCGAGTAAAGGTAATGAGTCTTGCTATTTACCTGTATAAGCACAACAAATGATGCTGGATAGTTAAATCACTAAAATTTGGTATTCTCAGAGTCCTTTAATTACTTCAGAGGATTTTACTTATGTTCTAAATCAGCGGTTGCCAACTGGTGGTCCACAGAACACTGGCGGTCTATGAGATCTAAAAGGTTGGTGACCGTTGGTTTAAGGAAACCTTTGGTGCAGCAGTCGCCAATTAGTGGTCTGCAGACCACTGGTGGTTCTTGAGGTCTGAAAGGTTGGCAACTGCTGCTCTAAATGACTCATCCTAGTAATGGCAACAATCAGAATTCATTTACTAGCTTTGAATCCCTATTATCCTTCAAAAAGACTAACCACAAAAATCCATCAACAGCTAGAAAATAAACCTGATCTGTCACCGAGTGCCTTTGTAGCTAATGGGAAAAGCAGTTTCAGAAGTAAATTATGCTCCGCTTCCCCTACTAAACTTATTAGCACTGGCTCTCAGACTTCTGCTTCAGTCTATGTCATACATTATCCTAATGTCTGCATTTATGTGGATGACTTACTTAATAGCCTAGCTAATTATGTCCTGACTTTATTTAGTCCAGTGATTATTCCCTCCACTCCTAAAAGCCACCCACTTCCATAGGCACATCACTGTATGGTTAATACAGCATTCAATAAATGTATGAAAAAATAAATGAATGAATGAATGAATGAGAAACCCAAAAGTTGTTCAACTGATTTTAACAGGTATTGAGTACTCTACTACCATAAGTAAAAACTAAATTGTGGATAGTGAGGTTTATAAAAGTAAAAGAAGACCCCATCTATGATTGCTCCTTATACAGGCACTATTGGCTATACTTACAGGTCTAGGAAGAGCCAGGTTTGCTCCATACCAATGATAAAGTGCTCTCCATACAGGTTCTGGGACCATTTCATAATCTCTTCCATGGATCAGCTGTGGGGTTCGTTTTAATCGACCACCTTCCAGTGTTAATGATGTAGCCTAAGAAGAAGAAATTGTAAAAGTTGATTTTATATATAACTGATTTTTCACAGAGAGGAAGAGAGAGGGATAGAGAGTTAGAAACATCGATGAGAGAGAATCATCGATCAGCTGCCTCTTGCACACCCCCTACTAAGGATGTGCCCAGACCAAGGTACATGCCCTTGACCAGAATAGAACCCGGGACCTTTCAGTCTGTAGGCTGACACTCTATCCACTGAGCCAAACTGGTCCCAGCTAAATGTTGATTTTTAATATTACAGTCTCTTGAGTTTTAACAAAATTTAGGCATAGAAGAATAATAAATACACATGTCACTACTCAGTTTCATGTTCTAAATAAGACTTTTATTTTTAACCTTCAAAACAAACTAAGAAAGGGAACTCAAAAAGCAAATCATTTGAAAAAAATCATCAGAGCATTAGGAAATAATAAGACTTGTTTTCACAGATTTCTCTCAGACAATATAAAATATTAAATCAGGGGGAAAATTCCATAGACATGTGAAACTACATTTTTATAGTAACTGTTCTAAGTAAGAATGAGAATATTTCCAAGGATCACTACACTGCCTTTGTGCAAGTACTAAATCATAAAATATTCTCATGAAAATATACTATGCAAAAAGATTTTCATCCACAACAAGTTAATTAAATGAGCACTAAGGAGGGTTAAGCCCGACTGACCAGCATGGCTCAGTAGAACATCGACCTATGAAACAGGAGGTCACAGCTGGATTCCCAGGGAGGGCATATGCCCAGGTTACAGGCTCAATCCTCACCGGGGGAAGTGTTTTGTTATGTGCTAGAACCTCTAGAATAAAATGTATAAGCAAGCTGAAAGAGAATGATTTTAAGTAGATGCCAAATTACTTACCTTTACTGGTTCTTGAGTTACTAATGGCTGGTTATCAATAGCCCCTGGTTTCTGAGGATTGAAATGCAACAAAATATTCCCATTGGATCCTAGGAAACACTGGTTGTTACTGTCCAAAATGTTATGTTGTCGAGCAAAGCACATATCTGCTCCTGGTGTGGCTGAATACAAAAAGCCTGTAAAGGAAATAGAGAATGGAATCTCTTTATTTTTAGTTATTACACATAAATAGGCTTGAAGATATGAATTCAATGTCCATGTTTTAGGTTAATGCTATTATTCTCTTGGCATGTCAGTACATTCCCATGTCAGTACAGATAAATGTGCTGAAACTAGGAAATACAGATAGATGTATTTCTTTCTGGACAATATCTAACATAATACTAGGTGAAATAAAAACTTTAAAAATTGTTACCACATGAACATTTGGGCAGCCTCCTAGAATATATGATAATTTCAAGAATCGTATGTCCTCTAATAAGAAAGGAAATAGTATAGCAAAGTAACTGGGCTTTCCCACAATCTTCCATAATTCTTCTCTTCTACCTAGAAACACATCCCAAAGGTTTTTGGAAGATGATAGTAATAAGTCTAAACCAGGCCTAGTCAGTTTGGCTCAGTGGAGAGAATGTTGGCTTGAGCACTAAAGAGTAATAGGTTTGATTCAGTCAAAGTCACATACCTTAGTTGCAGGTTCAATCCCCGAGCCCCCATCAAAATGTGTTTGGGAAGCAACTAATCAATGTTTCTCTCTCCCTGTGTCTCTCCCCCTTGCTTCCATTCTTTCTAAAAATCAACAGAAAAATATCCTCAGATGAGGATAAAAAAAAAAAAAAAGACGTCTAAACCAAAGGAAAGAGCTAAAATAACAATTTCAACAGAAGAATGCTGGGGGTAAGAAACTGTCCCCTAATAAATCTATTTCAAAGAAGGCATTAACATTACAATAGAAATATACACACAAAATGATTAATGACAACTTAGAGTTGTGAACTTCAATGATATTTTAAGGAATTTCAACTCTTAACTACATATTAATCTGAGGTAAACAGTCTAGCCATTAGTCACTTTAAACCTTCTAAGTGTGGCACTGCTCAACTTCAGCATATATCAAAAGGAGAGTTAAACCCAATATACCAGCGTGACTCAGTGGTTGAGCAATGACCTATGAAACAGGAGGTCACAGTTGAATTCTCAGTCAGGGCACATGCCCAGGTCGCAGACTCGATCCCCATTGTGGGGAGTGCATGAGGCAGCCAATCAATGATTCTCTCTCATCATTGATGTTTCTCTCTCTCTTTCTATCTCCCTTCCTCTCAGAAATCAATAAAAATACATATTTCTCTTTTTAATAAGAACATATATACATTTAAAAGGTTTAAGAAATAATTTGGTATGAAAGCCAGTCAGAGAGAGCTAGGACTGCTAAGTGATCTTTGTAATGTCAGATGGGGAAAGAGAAGCAGTAAATTCTAGTTTCCTTGAGAAAATGCTAGCTCTGTCCAATTTGGCTACTCCTTCATGGAAAAAGGGAAAAAAAAATATCTCAAAGATGAAATAACAACAGAATAAGACTGAAAATCCTCTTTTTATGTCAGCAGAATAATAGGGATCAACTCAATTCAGTTGAGCCATAAAAACACCAAAGCATCTTCCTCATCATCCCCAATTTAGAGTAGAACCACTGAGTTTTAGGTATCAAGGGCCAAAGGAATTATGGAAAGCATTATGAATTCTCAACATTTAAAATAATCCCCCCAAGTTCTAGCCTAACATGTCTGTAGAATTTGATATGAAAATGTATTTAATCCAGTAAAAGTATGCTTATAGTTACAGAGTCCTAAAGAAAGAAATTTAGATTTTTGTTTACCAAATTTAAACTTATTGACAAAATAATTTAGTAGCAATATGGGAAAATATGGCTTAATCAGTAAAAATATTTTCAAGAATCTGATAAATAACCATTTCATTCAAAACTTATTTCTATGAATGGAAGCCTGATGCTCAATATTCTACTAAGCATTCTCTGACGAAGTGTACTCTTTTAAGAATGACCCTGACTAAACCCTATGGGAAACAAGTCAGACTTACCACTGCCAGCAGTTTCTGATGCTTCAGATGCAGTTGAAATATTGTCTGAAAATTTCTCTTCTGTGGTATTCATATAACTGAGGCTGCCTCCTCCAATTCTATCTTCACTCTGTTCTATAGAATGTGCAGCTGTTCCAAACGAGTATTTTCCTCCATTCAGAACAGATGATGGCTCAATCACAACAGGGCTGGCATCCTAAAAATCATGAAGCCAGACATTAGGAAGTAATTAAAAAAAATATATATGTATTTATCTATTTTAGAGAGAATGGGAGAAAGAGAAATATCGATGTGAAAGGGAATCATCAATCAGCTGCCTCCTGCATGCCCCTACTGGGTAGCAAGCTGCAACCTGGCCATGTGCCCTGCCCAGGAATCAAACTGGCACCTTTGGGTGCATGAGACAGGCAATCAAGTCACACTAGCCAGAGCATACCATATGTTGTTTTAACAAGGCACAGTGAATGATGCATTCTGTAGACTTGGAGAATAGTGCTTTTCTTCACTGGTTTTCCAATGTACCAAACTACAGTGGTCTGCTGCTCAGTCTCTGGCTTTTTTATTTTCTTTTTCTATTCTAGGAATCTACTACTCTCAGTATCTGGCACTGCCTAAAACTGACACCATTACCCACCATTTTGTTCTTTCCCCTTCTCTGCCCTATTATTCTTATCATTGCTTCCATTCTTCTTGGCTTCCAGTGCAATTATCAACATTTTCAGGTAATTAATGGTATCACCACTTTCCTTCTATATGTTGAACAGCCAATAATGGTCATATATTGTAGTTATTGGCTACTTAACTATGTTATTTCCAGTTGCTCTAGGAAGTCCTCCCCACCCCCCCAAACATCAAAGGATCTTTTAACGTTTTTACTTACTTATTGGTCTGTAACTATCAGAAATAGTTGTATGAATGGTTTATGATAGATCAAACTTCAAGATAAACTTTCTTCTCTGTTAGTGTTGATGCTACTTCTTTATAAGCTTTACACATACATACAGGGTAGGGCAAAGTAAGTCTATAGTGTGAGTACACAAAACACAGTTTATTATTTATTAATTACTGTATTATTTTCCACATGAACTGTAAACCTACTTTTGCCCCACCCTGTATACTACAAGTATGATTTTTTTTTAAGTTAATTCTCATTGAAGATTTTTTTTGAGAAAGTGGAGGGAGGGAGGGAAGGAGGAAAGGAAAGGAGGAGAGAGAGAGGGAGAGAGAGAGAGAGATCAATTTCAGCTGCCTTTCACACTGCCCCAACAGGGATCAAACCTACAACCTACATATGTGCCTTGACCAGGAACATACAAGGAACTATGTCCCAACCAACTAAGCCAGACCTATACTTCTGTTTTATAAGAGATGTGCTGCTAAGAGCAAGACCTCTATCATATTCCTACAAGAGCAAAAAGTAATACCTAAAGCATAAAGCTAGGTTCTTCTTGAGTCTGTAGCCAGTAAGACATTAATAACCATTTATTCTAAGGTCAAAGTATGAACATAAAGACAAAAATAATTTCAAAATAGATTGGGACATGTTACTCAATATTCTCATTTTCTATCTACAATCACTATCATTATCTATCTATAAGATCTTTGAAGTCATATGCCTACTTTCACTCCTTCAGTGACACTTAAAAGTCTATCTTTTCCAATTAAGATATTTTATGTGTGAAAACAAACTACTAACCTCTGCAAAAGGAAAAAAGAACCAGGTGGAATAAAGAAAATAATATAAACAATCTACCAGTATCTTCTGATAAACAATGACAGAAAAGAACATATAGGAAAAATATGAATAAAATTATTAACTTTTTGCTTAGTAATCATTTGGCAACTGACAATGAGTCAACAAAACATATAAAATGACTCTCCAAAATGGGGAATTTGATTACTAGAATTACTGTTTTCAGTTTTTTATTTTGAAAAAAATCCCTTGTATGTTTTAAATAAGAGTAGGATATTCACTAATACTTTCTTCTTTAACTCTTTATTTGGAACAATGTCAGGTGGTTACCTCTAGTCTCAGCCTCAGGTTCCTCACAGGTAAGATAGATACAATACCACCTTCCTCATAGATATTGTGAGGACTAAATGAGATATGTAAGATGTATATACACGCACCTGCATGCCCAATATTACCTTCCTCATAAGAGTTGTTGCAGGGAGCTAATCTATATGCACAGAGCATGGTACATAGCAAGTATTTTATAGGAAATAATTTCTATACCCTTCAAATCTTTAAGTTGAGCATTTTATTATTAGCCAGTAGTCATCCAAAGTCTGTAGAATTAAAAGTCCTATGAAAAAAGGTAGATAAACAGAAATCTTACTCACATATTTGACATAGTCCTTCCACTGCTGCCACCACTGCATGGAGATGATATACCAATTGTGTCCTGGTTGCAGACCATGCCTGCTCTCCCGTTCTAACCATCCTCTGTACATACAAAAGAAACTTCATGCATCAAATGGGATGTGAAACAGATGACCACATCATTAGCAATTTTTACAAAGGAAAAACATGAAACAAATAGATATATTATACTTGGGAAATTGCTATAATTTCGATTAGTGAAATTCTGATAAGCCAACTTCAGGGAATCAATACCACTATCAAGCATCACTCATACTGACGATGTTTTTATTTTTAAATTTTTTATTTTTATTGATTTCAGAGAGGAAGGGAGAGGGAAAGAAAGATAGAAACATCAATGATGAGAGAAGTCACTGATCAGCTGCCTCATTCATGCCTCCTACTGCAGATCGAGCCTGCAACCCAGGCATGTATGTGTCCACCAAATCGAACCTGGGACCCTTCAGTCCGCAAGCCGATACTCTATCCATTGAGCCAAACAGGCTAGGGCCTGATGATATTTTAAAAACAGCTTTATTGAGGAATATTTTACATATAAAAATTACCTGAATTAAGTTCACAACTCAATTATTTCGATAAATTTGCAGACAAGTGCAACCATCACCACAGTCAAATTTTAGAATATTTCAATTACCCCAAAAAGATATTTTGTGCCTATTTTAATTAATTTGTGTTACCACCTTTAGATCCCGAAAACCACTAGTCTATTTGCTATCTCTTATAAACTTCCCTTGTGTGAACATTTTATATAAATGGAATTACATAACACAAGGTCTTTTACATCTGGCCACTTTTAGCATAAATGTTATTGAGGTGCATTTGTATTATATCAGGTATCCTTAGTTTGTGCTTTTTTATTACTGAATAGTATTCCAAAAGTCCATGTATACCACATTTTGTTTCACCATCTAACATCTAATCATTTGAAACTGGTGAAATGTTTTTGCAAAGTACCATCAGACATTCCCATTAGCAATGTATGAGGGTTCTATTCTAGTTTCTCATTTCTCTAGATTCTCACCAATGTGTCTGCCTTTCCTATCATAAATGTTCTAGTGGATGTGAAATGGTGTACTAAATGTTACTGAATTGTATGCTTTAAAATGGCTCATTTTATGTTATGTCAATTTCTCCAAAACATTTTCATACATCCCAACAAAGCAGTTATACATTAAGAAGCTTTCCCCTATTATTCTCTTCCCCCATCCCTCGCCAATCATCCGTTTTCTGTACCTATGCATTTACATACTCTAGATATTTAATACAATGTCTTATTTCAAAAAATTAAACTTAGAACCAGTGCAATTTTAATGTGAAACAGAATTTGATTTCAAATTAATCCAATACCTTGGTTAGAAAATTACTTAAAAATATCCCGATACATAATTGTTTTGGAGAAACAGGGTGTTACTATAATTATTACATTAAAGTGGGACATAATATTAATTAGTAATAATATATTTCAGGTGTTAGCAATTTCAACTATATAATGAAAAATACATAGACTGAAACTATAATCTTACCTTATAATTTGTCCTTCCTCTTCTGGAGTAGCTGGTCTTAATCCCAGAACTATGTGACATACCTAAAGGAAAAGTGGTAAATTAAACTTCATTGACTGGTGTTAATGACTAGATTGTATTTTTCACAGTCTCTGCAGAGCTTTCAATTAATGAACTATTAATGAGTCACTTGAGCAAATTTGAACTTTAAATTTCAGCTAATCTTTTTTTTTTTAATTGATTTTTAGAGAAAAGAAGGGAAATGGAAAGAGAGAAACATCAATATGAGAGTGAAACACTGATTGGCTGCCTCCTACTCAACCCCCTATAGGAGATCAAGCCCACAACCCAAGCATTTGCCCTGAGACCCGGAATTGAACTGGCAACCTTTCTGTGCACGCAATGATGCCTAACCAACTAAGCAACACTGGCCAGGGAACCATAAAGTATATAAATTGGGGAAAGAGAGCTACTTTAGGAAAACAGTTAAAATCTAGCAAGTTCTATGACTTTTTATTCCTGGTTGCTTTTCTTCTCTCTTTGTCCCTCAATCTTTCTTGGACTTTATAAAGAATAAAAATATAAATAAATAAAATTAAGAGATACCATGAAACTAAAATAATTTTCTAACTAAAGAGACTGTATACTTTGAAAAAATTATAGTTGCCTACTAATGACCCATCTCTGTTCACACTATTTCACTTGTTAGGAAGGGTCTTTAAAAAAGATTAACAGTGAAGAAAAAGCAAATTATGATAGCTTTTATGGTTCTCTGTAAGTCTACATGCTTCTCTCTCATGAGTTATGATAAGATAAATAAACAATATCACCTATACTCTGCTTTCCTATCTCCCACCATCATGATTTTGAGAAGATTCAACAGGCACTCATGTTCTATCTTACCATATTTCAGGCATGGATAGGATAATGTAGTTCTATTTAATTAGTATCATAGGTGGTTTTGCAGTCCAGTTGCATTAACTACCAAATAATGGAAAATATATAGAATTACTGCTACTGCTAACCTCTGAACCTGTCATTTACATTAAACGTACCTGGAAAAGGAGATTCAAAAATTCATTGGCAAGTACATTTTTCACACTCCAGATCTGATAGTCTTCTAGAGTAAGATGGCCCATCTGAAAGAGAAATAATATTAAAAAGATCTCATGCTAAGAATGTCATTTTTATAGCAACTGAATAAAATCTGGTTTATTAAACTTATATTGGTCATTTACCTGAAAACAAACCAATAATTTAAAGTAGATTCTAGCCTGGCCCTGTGGCTCAATGGCTGAGCATTGACTCATGAACCAGAAGGTTATAGATCAATTCCCAGTCAGGGCACATGCCCAGGTTGCAGGTTTGATCCCCCGTAGGGAACATGTAGGAGGCAGCTAATCAATGATTCTCTCTCATCATTGATGTTTCTATGACTCTTTCCTTCCTCCTTCCTCTATCTGAACTAAATTTAAAAAAATATTTAAAATAAAGTATATTCTATGTGTTCATATGACAAGTAGTCTAGCTAGCTAGAATAAGTTTAAAAGTAATAAAAATCAGTTGAAACAGTCAATGGTAATGAGGACACATAAACAATTTTGTTTCAACAAAGATCTAGCCGGGACCGGTTTGGCTCAGTGGTAGAGCGTCGGCCTGCAGACTGAAAGGTCCCGGGTTCGATTCCGGTCAAGGGCATGTACCGTGGTTGCGGGCACATCCCCAGTAGGGGGTGTGCAAGAGGCAGCTAATCGATGATTCTCTCTCATCGATGTTTCTAACTCTCTATCCTTCTCTCCTCCTCTCTGTGAAAAATCAATAAAATATATTAAAAAAAAAAAAAAAAAAAAAAAAAGATCTAGAAAATAACAGAATCTTCTGTTTCAAGGGTTACCTATGGAAAACTACAAAAAGCTCTGGTAGGGAAAATTGAGTAATTTTTTTTATTTTTTATTTTTTATGCAAAACCTAAGATTCCACTGTAGCACAGAGATCGATATATTAACAGGTCATAAAAAAGTGGTGTGGGACATGCAGGATGTGATATATAAACTGGAGGATTGGGTAATTTCCTTTATAAAACGACAGTACATTGTGGCTAAGGAACACACTTAAATTAATACTATGACACTGAACTGAAATGTGGTACAAAAATAACAACTTCAAGGCATGCCTTCAAGCATCTCCCTTAGGACTTGCGATCTCTAGGCTTCAATGTGGGGAGGATTATAATTCTTGGGAAGAATAAGAAGTTCACACTTTTGAAATTTCAGAGAATTAAGGTAAAAACATAGTGGTTTCATTTCTCTTCGCCTTCAAAGAGAAATCTAATGCTTTATTCAAATCCACATTAAGCTACTAGTTCAAATCCCAACCCAACCTTGTGACCTCCAGCATTGATGTTCTTCATTAACTAAAACTGACTGGGTCAATTAAATCCTTATCAAAAAGTATGAGTATAGCCAAAACCGGTTTGGCTCAGTGGTAGAGCGTCGGTCTGCGGATTGAAAGGTCCCAGGTTCAATTCAGGTCAAGGGCATGTACATTGGTTGCGGGCACATTCCCAGTAGGGATGTGCAAGAGGCAGCTGGTCGATGTTTTTCTCTCATCGACGTTTCTAGCTCTCTCTCTCTCCCTTCCTCTCTGTAAAAAAATCAATAAAAAAATATATATATATAAAAAAAGTCTGAGTATAAATAACCCAGTCCTTTCATTCTAACAACATTCTAAGATCTTCTTAGAAACATCTAGCATTATTATCAGACTTCTTAAAGATTTAAGATCTACTTTACATTTCTCCAAAATGCAGTTTAACATTACATTTTTATAAGTTGGGTAAAGCAACATTTTTGTGTTGCCGAAGAGCACCAAAAATTACATATACCACCGAAACCGGTTTGGCTCAGTGGATAGAGCGTCGGCCTGCGGACTGAGAGGTCCCAGGTTCGATTCTGGTCAGGGGCATGTACATTGGTTGCAGGCACATCCCCAGTAGAGGGTGTGCAAGTGGCAGCTGGTTGATGTTTCTCTCTCATCGATGTTTCTAGCTCTCTATCCCTCTCCCTTCTTCTCTGTAAAAAATCAATAAAATATATTTTTTAAATTATTTTAAAAAATTACATATACCATGTGGAAGACGACATATACTTTTTCTTGTCTAGCAAAAATATAACCAATGAGGGGGGAGGTAAAGGTAGGGGATGGGAAACAGGCAGAAGGGAGCTATGGGGGGAAAAGGGAGAAATAATGGTAATAATCTGAGCAATAAAGATTTATTAAATTAAAAAAATAAATAAAATGCTAACCATTTCATTATCATGGTTACATAGAGTTGAAACAGCTAAATTATCTTTTTAATGTTCATAGCATAGCCAGAAGTAGCAAATCCATCTTATATAAAAGTAGACAGCAATGAGCACCAGTTAATAAGACTGATTATTCCTTCTGGAATTGTGATTGAAGAAAGAAAAAACACTGATGTTACTTTATTAATATAAGTTTCTGTAACAATCTGCTACTTGTTACGTCGGTGTTTGAGTGGCAAGGCTTAAATTAACTCAAATATGCCTCACAATATGTTGCTTAATTTCAATTTCACAGGGACACACACACACACACACACACACATCAGAACAAATCAAAATATAGGAGTAAACCTATTATAACAGTGTTAGTAATAAATATCAAGCTAAAAAATTAAAAGATTTATTTTTTATAAAGTACATGGTTATTCTAGCTAGTAATCAAGAACTTGAGAGGGCCTTACCAGTGCTATTTAAAAAAAATTAAAAAAACTCTTTTAGGAATACATGGACCAACCATATTAATATTTAAAAATCATTATTCTGAGGAGTAACCAAGATGGCGGCATAGGGTAGACATCTGAATGCAGCCTACCACAACAATTTTGAATTTAGAAATGGAAAACAGGAAAAACATCCCCCTGAAATGCTGGACGGCTGGCTGAGAAGAGGCTCTACCATGTGGGAAGGAGAGAGAAGGCATGCTAAACCTCAGGAACTGTAAAGGTGCGGTGAACTGTGCGCGTGAAAAGGTGGCCACCCAACTTTGCTGCTGGCTTGCTTGCCAAGCTCGGAGAGGGCGGACCGGTTTCACTGCTGGCTTACTCCTTGCGCGTGGAGAGGGCAGACAGCTAATGCACGGCTAGCTCTCTTGTTCAGGAGGAAAACAGAACCACCCTATTGCTCTGATAGATGGCCCCAGACAGGGAAAGGCCAGACTATCAGGCAGTGGGCAGAGATCTCTTGGAAGTGTGTAAAGCCAGCGGCCCCATTTCTATGTGACTCAGAAACCAGACCCTCGTAGGGAGGGGCTGAATGAAGCTTGTCTGCACGACTCCAAGACTCTGCCCTATCCAAGCAGAGCACAGAAGCCCTTCCAGTGGCTAGCTTTCTCGTTCGCCGCGAATAGGACTCTCCGAGGGAGGAACAGACAGGAATCCAAAGCTTGTCTGCACCTAAACCAAAGAGGTGCGCCCACCTACAACCAATCTTGCGAGATTCACCAAAGCTTGGCTGTGCCATCCTGAGACTCTGCCCCATCCAAGCAGAATACAGAAACCCTCCTAGCTGAGACACCTCTGATCCTCATAGCCAATTGGCTTGGAGATCAATGCTTCCCAGTGATATCAACAACAAGCAAGGCTTAACAACAAGACTGCACACACAGTCCACAAAGGGCTATACTAAGACTGTCCACCTCAGGTAACTGAGAGGCTAACCCACTGAACCATATAGGACACCTTAGCACACAAAGCCACCCTACCAACTCAGGGAAGCTGTGAAAATGCCAAGACAAGGAAATAGATCACAAACAAAAGAAATGGAGGAAAAGAAGCGACTGGATATAGAGTTCAAAACCACGCTTATTCAAGAATTTCCTAGAAAAGGCCGATAAAATAAACAAGACCTATGAGGATATGAAAAAAGGATCAACTAGAAATAAAGAATACATTGTCTGAAATAAAAAATATTATACAGAGTCCTAAAAACAGAATGGAAGATCGCAAGAATCAAGTCAAAGATATGGAACACAAAGAGCCAGAAGACACTCCTCCACAGAAGAAAGAAGACAAGAGAATCCAGAAAGTTGAAGATAGTGTAAGAAACCTCTGGGACAATTTCTTCTGAGACCCCCAACATCAGAATTATGGGGGTCTCAGAAGAAGAGAGAGAGCAAGATACTGAAAACATATTGAAAGAAATAGTGACAGAAAACTTCCCCCACCTGGGGAAAGAAATAGATTTACAAGTCCAGGAAGCGCACAGAACTCCAAACAAAAGAAACCCAAAGAGAACCACACCAAGACACATCATAATTAAAATTCCAGGAGCAAAAGACAAAGAGAGAATATTAAAAGCAGCAAGAGCAAAGCAGGTAGTTACCTATAAAGGAGCACCCATACGACTGTCAGCTGATTTCTCAATAGAAACCATGCAGGCCAGACGGGAATGGCAAGAAATATTCAAGGAGATGAATAGCAAGAACCTACAGCCAAAAATACTCTACCCAGCAAAGCTATCACTCAGAATTGAAGGCCAGATAAAGAGCTTCACAAATTAAAAAAAAAAAAGCTAAAGGAGTTCATCACTGCCAAACCAGAATTATATGAATTGCAGAAAGGGGTTCTTTAGGAAGAGGAAGAAGATATAGATAAAAATTATGATCAACAAATACGTAACTATCAACAAGTGAAACTAAAAGTCAAGGGAATTAAAAAACCTGATGAATAATATTAACTGGTCAATATAATAGAATTAGAGATATGGAAGGGGAATGGACTGACGATTCTAGGGGAAAAGGGGAGTGGGGGGGTGCGGGAAGAGCCCGAACAAAAACTGTACACCTATGGATGAGGACAATTTGGGGGTGGGGAAAGGGCAGAGGGTGGGGTGAGAACCTGGTGGAGAGGAGCAATGGAGAGGGGAAAAATGAGGAACATTTGTAATAATATGAACAATAAAGATTTATTTTTTTAAAAAATGTATACACACACTGGGAATAATTATAAAGTCAATGTTAAAAAAATTTTTTTTTTAAAAATCATTATTCTAATGCCTATCATAATTTGTTACTTTTGCCCATTTCTGACTTCATATAAATGGGATTATACAGGATATTCTTTCTGTGGGGCTTCTTTTGCTCAATATAAGGTAAGCCTTACCATAATTCATTAAAATGGAAGTAATAAAAATTATGAACTATTTTTTTTTTTTTTTTTTACAGAGAGGAAGGGAGAGAGATAGAGAGCTAGAAATGTCGATGAGAGAGAAACATCGACCATTGCCTACTGGGAATGTGCCCGCAACCAATGTACATGCCCTTGACCGGAATCGAACCTGGGACCTTTCAGTCCACAGACGGACGCTCTACCACTGAGCCAAACCAGTTTCAGCAAAAATGATGAACTATTGTGACAAGGGCTGGTCTACTTAATTTTTATAAAATGCTTAATAAATGTTTTTATGCATAAAATACCTGGAATGGACAGTCAACCTGGTCTTACAGTTTCCACAGATCCAAACAGCAGTTGGTAGGGATGATACAGAATAGATTAAAATATTATATGCTATATATCCCTATTTTTGGTATATGATATTTTTAGAAAAAAATAAGTTAGTCCTGGCTAAACTCACCTTTGTGGTGTCATGTGCACTCAATATGCCTTCTACAATATCAGATAGATCCATATGTAATTCCTTTAAAAAAAGAAATTCAAAGAAGTAATTAGAAAAGAGTTGATACCATTTTTATTATCCATTGGCCAAAATCTACACTAATAAAAGAGAAAGATGCAAATTGACTGTACCTTTAAGATGCCCACCAGCCAATCAGGAGTATGCAAATTAACCCAACAAAGATGGTAGGTTAATTTACATATGCAGGCACCCAGTGGCCAGGGGTGGTGCAGAACACTTGCGTCATTGTCATGGTGACGGCGCAGGCATTCCACATTGCCCCAGCAGCTCTGGGCCTCTGGGCAGCATGGGAAGGCAGAAAAGTGGCTCTGGGCCAGAGCAAAGGCAGAAAGGTGGCTCCAGGCCAGAGGGAAAGCAGTGCCAGCTGCCATGGGAAGGAAGGCCCATTCTGGCAGGAATCTTTGTGCATCAGGCCACTAGTATACTATATTTTGACTATTTTTTATTATCATAAATACAATTTTACATTTGCTCTAAAAAATTATTATAATTATCATGCAGTTTCATTCTTACTTTATACAGTTTATTAAATTTTCTAAGACAAATTCTGTACCCAATTTTTCATGTTCAGCAATGAATATTTTGAGTAGCATAACTCAGCAACCAACAGTAATAATAAATCCTTTTCATTCTCTGACTTTTCAAAAAATTCTCACTCCATTTTCTGGAATTTACATACAATAAGATGTTTAAAATCAGAACTTACTGGGATATCATCAGTGCGGTTATCCTTCCAGACCTCTAAAAGTGCAACCACCATGTCTCGCAGTTCAACCCTCGAGAGAACTCCATCACGGTCAACATCAAACACCTTGAAGCAAACTAAAAAAAAAAAAAACTCTTATGAAAGGGAATTAGTTCATGTTTACAAGTAAAATACATTTCACTAGAAGGTGCCCTAGTAAAATTACAGAGTTTCTCAAGCAAGTATATTCTGGATTAAGTTCTCATCTGGAGCAGACATAGAAATATGTAATTGAAGTCCCTTGAACATGTAGGATTAACTGCACACTTCATTAATCTCTCTCAAATTTGAAAACAAAAAAGGGGGCCAATAAATATTACCATACCTCACAGGTTTTAAGGAGATAATTTAAGCTCTTAATTTCTTATATTTAAAACTGATCACTGGCCGAAACCAGTTTGGCTCATTGGTAGAGCATCAGCCTGTGAACTGAAGGGTCCAGGTTCCATTCAGGTCAAGGGCATATACCTTGGTTGTGGGCACATCCCCATTGGGAGGTGTGCAGGAGGCAGCTGATCAATGTTTCTCTCTCATTGATGTTTCTGGCTCTCTATCCCTCTCCCTTCCTCTGTAAAAAATCAATAAAATGTATTAAAAAACAAAACGAAAAAACAAAACAAAAGCTGATCACTGAAGAGTTGATTCTGCTAATGATGAAAATATTCAATCTATATTAAGAATCATTGGCAACAAGCTGGTATTAAGATAGTCTACTTAAATTCTGCCTATCCAATAAAACTAATACACACTTAAGGTTTCGTCAAAGAACAATTTCAATTAAAAAAAAAATAATATATATATATATATATATATATATATATATATATATATTTTTTTTTTTTTTTTTTTTTCTAGAGAGCTAGAAACATTGATGAGAGAGAAACATCGATCAGCTGCCTCCTGCAAACCTTCCACTGGGGATGTGCCCGTAACCAAGGTACATGCCCTTGACCGGAATCGAACCTGGGACCTTTCAGTCCACAGTCCGACGCTCTATCTACTGAGCCAAACCAGTTAGGGCCAATTTCAACTCTTCAATTAAGTTTATATATGTACTAGAGGTCCGATGCACGAAAATTCATGCAAGAGGGCTTTCCTTCCCCTGGCTGCCAGCACTGGCTTCCTTCCAGCACCTAGGACCCAGATTTCCCTCCTCCGGCCACCAGCAGACACCTTGGACTCGGGCTGGCTTCCCTCTGGCCCTGGCTTCATTAGGAAGGATATCCGGAATACATCTGGTCTAATTAGCATATTACCCTTTTATTATAATAGATAAGGATTAGAAATATAAGCAATTTGCTATTTAACTCCAAATTAATCACTATTTTGTTAACTTTCATTGGTCCATTAGCAAAGAACTTTAAAAGTTTTTTTTAAATATATTTTTATTGACTTCAGAGAGGAAATGAGAGGGAGAGATAGAAACATCAATGATGAGCCGAAGCCGGTTTGGCTCAGTGGATAGAGCGTCGGCTTGGGGACTGAAGGACCGGGTTCGATTCCGGTCGGGGGGCGTGTGCCTTGGTTGTGGGCATATCCCCAGTGGGGGGTGTGCAGGAAGCAGCAGGTCGATGACTCTCTCTCATTGATGTTTCTAACTCTCTGTCTCTCTCCCTTCCTCTCTGTACAAAATCAATAAAATATATTTTTTAAAAAAAAGAAACAGCCGAAACCGGTTTGGCTCAGTGGTAGAGCGTCGGCCTGCGGACTGAAAGGTCCCAGGTTCGATTCCGGTCAAGGGCATGTACATTGGTTGCGGGCACATCCCTGGTAGGGAGTGTGCAGGAGGCAGCTGGTCGATGTTTCTCTCTCATCGACGTTTCTAGCTCTCTATCCCTCTCTCCTCCTCTCTGTAAAAATTCAATAAAATATATTTAAAAAAAAAAAAAAAAAAAAAGAAACATTAATGATGAGAATCATTGATCGGCTGCCTCCTGCATGCCTCCTACTGGGGATTGAGCCCATAACTCAGGCATGTACCCTGGACCAGAATTGAACTCCGGACCCTTCTGTCCATAGGCCAACGCTCTATCCACTGAGCCAAACCAGCTATGATTTAAAAAAGTTTCTAAGTTCATACATAATTAAGATCAAGTGAGAAACAAAAAATTTACCCTCACTTTTTAACATTAGCACTTTATTTTTTTGTTAACCTTCACCTGAGGATATTTTTCCACTGATTTTTAGGGAGTGGAAGGGATGGGAAGAGACAGAGAGAGAAACATCAATATGAAAGTGACACATTGGTTGGTTGCCTTCTGCATGCTCCTCAACCAGGGCTGGGGAATAGAACCTGAAACCAAGGTACATACCCTTGACTGCAATCAAACCCATGACCCGTTAGTCCACAGGCAAATGCTCTACCAACTGAGCAAAACTGATCAGGGCAGTAGTTGGCAAAGCACAGCTCTTGAGCCACATGCGGCTCTTTGGCCCCTTGAGTGTGGCTCTTCCACAAAATACTGCGGCCTGGGCGAGTCTATTTTGAAGAAGTGGCGTTAGAAGTAGTTTAAGTTTAAAAAATTTGGCTCTCAAAAGAAATTTCAATCATTGTACTGTTGATATTTGGCTCTGTTGACTAATGAGTTTGCTGATCACTGAACTAGGGCAATATTAGCACTTTAATGGGAACAAATAATTATATATAATAAGAGCTAATATGCTTATTAGACTGAACAACCGAACTATCTTCCAGACAACCTTCAGGACAAAGCTGGGGCTGTGAGGGGCTGCAAGGGCAAGCCGAAGCAACCAGGGCTCTGAGGGCCAAGCCCCTTGCAAAAATTTCATACATGGGGCCTCTAGTCTGTATATTTGCAGATCAAACTATTGGTATATCAGCATGAAAAAACAAAAAACCCAAAACAGAAACCTAAGTTTTTAAGATTAAGTAATAATCTATTTCATACACCCCCAAAATTATAATGCTGTTTAAGTGCATTATAAATATTACTGAAGGTCAAAATAGTTAAACAGCACACTTAAAACAGACAACATTTATAAACTGTATTTTAGAAAGACACAGAGATAATAACCTTAGTAAATATATCAGTATTAGGTACCAATTAAATATAAATTGCAGCATTTTGTGAAATATGGTTAAGATTTAATAATGTAATATGCTTATAAATTATACTATAACATTTTAGCTAGATTTAAATGACCAATTTAGTATTTAATAAAACTGTGTTTTGATAATAAATTTCACTTCGCTATTAAAATATTTATACAAGTCACAGAAAATGAGTTGTACTTCCAATTATGCAAGGCACTGAATTCTCTATACAGGCTACCAAAAAATATTTCCTAGGGGGGAAAAAAAAGAAAATATTTTTTAAACATTTACGTTTTCAAATATATTATGGCTGAAATAGTTTCTTTATCATGAACTGTAAATCATCAGGAAAATCAACCCCATCTATATATATAAAATGCTAAGTCACCGTCTGACCATCTGGCCGGTACCTATGACACGCACTGACCACCAAGGGGCAGACGCTCAACACAGAAGCTGCCGAGTTGCAGTGACTTGGCAGCAACGGTTCTCAGGTGACACACCCCGGAACTAGAGAGAGAGCCCAATTCCTCATGGGGCTGTGCGTTTCCATGATTCCACCTTTCCACCTTCCGTTGAGGGTTATGTTGTTCCTGGGGCATTGTCAGCCCTCGATCTGGTTTATTGCAAACTTGCAATTGCGTTCCACACCCTATACAACAGCAACTTTGCAGAATGCCCTCTTGCACTTTGGGACCCCTTGGGGGATGTCAGAGAGTCAGTTTTAACCCGGTCCCCACAGGCCAGGCCTAGAGACCCCCAACTGACAGAGGGACCCCCACTCACTCCACAGATGCCCATGGTGCTACCCAGTCCTGCCCCATCAGTCACCACCTGGGATTGTCTGCATTAGTCCCTGCACCAGAGCCAGTGCTGCAAGCTGGAAGATCCCAACATGAGTTTTCTTCCTTCCCCCCTTCCTCTCCTTCTAACACCCTCTCCCCCCTGCTCCCCTTTCACTACTCTGCAGACACCCTTTGAGCCATGGTGCTGCCCCAGGAATTCTAATTAATTTCCTTTTAATTGTGCCCAAATCCCTATAGCAGGGCCACTAGTTATTAATAACAAAGATATCAAACTACTCCACAATGCAAAAGAATAGATCATTAAATCCTCAGAATGACTTAAATAAAATCTAGACATGAGATTCCTATATGCTAATTTGGTAAAGTGGTGAAAATTCAAGCCTTAATCCACAGTTGATTTTACATGGATGAATACTAATTTTTTGACTATATACTTGCAAATTTTGTGACAATGTTTAACTTACATTTTTGTCTTTCAGCCAGGGGTCCCCTGCAACATGCTGACAACCCACAGGATATCTCCTTAAAATCTATGTGATTGTCACGATTTTCATCAAAAGCATTAAACAAACCTGTAAAATAGGAAAAGACACCATAAATCACAGTGAACAAACTTCCTAATGTTATAACACTAGAGGCCCGGTGCATGAAATTCGTGCACAGGGGTGTGTGTCCCTCAGCGCAGTCTGCACCCTCACCAATCTGGGAATCCTCAAGGGCAGTCAGACATCCTTTTCACAATTTAGGACTGCTGGCTCCCAACTGCTTGCCTGTCTGCCTTCCTGATTGCCCCTAACCGCTTCTGCCTGCCAGCCTGCTCACCCCACAACCACTCCCCTGCTAGCCTAATTCATGCCTAATTGCCCTCCCCTGCAGGCTTGGATCCCCCCAACTGCTCTCCTCTGCAGACCTGGTCCCCCCCAACTGCTCTCCCCTGCAGACCTGGTCCCCCCCAACTGCTCTCCCCTGCAGACCTGGTCCCCCCACAACTGCTCTCCCCTGTAGGCCTGGTTCCCTCCCAACTGCGCCCTTCCCTGCTGGCCCAGTTGCCCCCAACTGCCCTTCTTTCCAGGCCTGGTCCCTCCCAACTGCCCTCCCCTGCTTGCCTGATGGCACACAACTGCTCATCCTCGCAGGCCTCGTCCCTCCCAACTGCCCTCCCCTGCTGGCCACCTTGTGGCAATCATCTTTGACCACATCGGGGCAGTAATCTTGTGTGGAGTGATGATCAATTTGCCTATTACTTTTATTAGATAGGATAGAGGCCTGGTGCACAAGTGGGGGCCAGCTGGTTTGCCCTAAAGTGTGTCCCAGATCAAGGTGGGGGTTCCCTTGGGGCATGGAGCGGTCTTGGGGAGTGGCCTGGCTTGGCGGGAGGCAGGGCCACCTCGTCACGCGAGGGCCTCTAGTATGCACATAAATTATTTGGTTAAACTCTTCCTGCCCTCTGAGATTCTTCAGTTTGTTCCATGTTTCTATGCCTCTGGATCTATTTTATTCATCAGTTTATCTTGTTCATTTATTTTTATTTTTAACATGCTGTTATTAATAAGCTGCTATAAAGCTCTCCCATGACATGAAGAAAAATAACACATTATATTAAGAGAAAGAATATAGTGCAGTCTTGTTTGTACTATGCAATCTTTTATGAGTACTTAAATTTCAGAAAAAAAGGGGATTTATAATTCAATCCTGTGGTTTTTAAATATTTTGTAAAAGATAAAAATAAAATTATTTTGATTTAAAATGAAATGACTTAGCCCTAACCAGCCCCTCAGTGGATAGAGTCGGCCTGTGGACTGAAAGGTCCCAGATTCAATTCAGGTCAAGGACATGTACCTTGGTTGTGGGCACATCCCCAGTGCAGGAGGCAGCTGATCGATGTTTCCTTCTCATCGATATTTCTAACTATCCCTCTCCCTTCCTCTCTGTAAGAAAATCAATAAAATATATTTTTTAAAAATATAAAATGATTTATCAAATTCTCCAACCTAAAAAAGGTAAAAACAATTGTACTCTTGAACTGGGTGAAAGCCCAGGACCTTATCAGTTTTGGCTCTCCTAACAAGTACTTCTGAGGTACCCTGGAAATCTGAAGAATACAGATTCTATATCCAAGAATTAATTCCATTCCCTCAGTTTAAAGAATAGAAAACTAAACAAAACTCAGAAGGGGGTTCCCAAAAGTAAGAAGTTTAAAAAGGTCAGAAGAAGCAGAACCCAAAAATTCAAGATTCCAAATGTGATTTTGTATGATATCACCTACAATTATTCTTTGTATCCCTAATGTTTTAAAAAAGTCATAGCATGCCTGGCTGGTGTGGTTCAGTTGTTGAGTATCAACCCATGCACCAAGAGGTTGCCAGTTTTATTCCTGGTCAGATTGTGGGTTCAATCCCTGGGACGGGGGGCGGGAGGGAAGGCATGCAAGAGGCAGCCAATCGATATATGTTTCTCTCTCCTTCTCCCTTCCAATAAAAACATATATATTTTTAGAAAGTCATAGCAATGGAAAGTTTAGAGCCGTCCAGTAGTTTCTTAATTTTTAAAAAATATATATTTTATATATATATATATTTTTACAGAGAGGAAGAGAGAGGGATAGAGTTAGAAACATCGATCAGCTGCCTCTTGCACAACCCCTACTGAGGATGTGCCCGCAACCAAGGTACATGCCCTTGACCGGAATCGAACCTGGTACCCCTCAGTCCACAGGCTGACACTCTATCCACTGAGCCAAACCGGTCTTGGCTGTTTCTTAATTTCTTTTGGTAGTTGGGGTGGGGGAGGATATAGCAATGGAAACTGCTTATATAAAATGGAAAAAAATAGAGGCACTCGAATAAAGGAAGAAGTGGTACTAATAAAAAACCTTGGTCCTGGTTGGTGTGGTTCAGTAGTTACAGAATCAGCTCTGCCACTGAAGGATCATGGGGTCGATTCAAGTCAAGGGCACATACCTGGGTTCGCTCCCAGGCCCCAGTTGTAGCATCTGCAGGATGCAACCAGTTGATGTATCTCTCTTGCATCTATGTTTTTATCTCTCTCTCTCCTCGCCTTCCCTCCCTCCTTTTCATTCTCTGAAAAGCAATGAAAAAGTATCCTCATCTGAGGATTAACAAAAAAAATACCAATAAAACAAAGCAAAAACCTGGAGCTCTGCCCATTCAGTGGCCGTCACCCTAATCCCTGGTACCAGCTACTAAGGTACCTCATTGCAGTACAGCTTCTTAGCTACTGACTGGTCAAACTTATTTATGAAGATATTCAGGTGAAGAAAGCCAATTTATGCAAGGTCACACAGGTAGAACAGGATGCTCAAAACTATTAATACAATCTTAATTCCCATTTTAGTTTTTTTCCACTAAACTCTGCTATTTGCAAGAAACTTTTAGAGTTATCTCCTTTTAGAGTTCAGATGTGGTGGTTAATAATGAGAAGGGCTCAAATCTGTTTACCAAAAAACATTTGTAGAGAAGAAAATGATTCCTACCTTCACTTAGAGATGGACGAATAGGTGGTGAAACCAACGGGCCAAATGTCTCTAAATCAAATCGTCCGGTCCGAGACTGCGCCTTCAGCGACCAATAACGTTTCTCCAGATCAATGATGTCTGATTCCTCCACTAAGAGTCATAGTAAACAAGATTATAAAACCTCTCAGCCTTCTCTTCTGGGCAGTTTATCTTAATAATATAACTTTCAAGGATATATTTTAATTTACCAATTATTGCTAAAAAAAAAATCTATCTAAAACAAAATTCTGAAACACAAATACATTTTATCTAAAATAGCATAAAAAGTAAATTCAAATAAACATAAAAGAGGTTTTAAAATAAAAAATTACTTTTGCAATTGCCCATTTAGTAGATTGATTAAATCCAATATATAGAATAACTGAAACTTTTCTTTTTGAGTTCCCATACCTTTTTTATCTATACTTATTTTTTATCAGTTTCAATCTCTATCTGGGGTTTAAATCTCTATCCACATACATATTCTCTCTACTATAAACATTCTAAGAGCAGAATTTATGTCTGATTCATCCTGTCAATTTGGTTACTATTTACAAAGTCAATATTTATTAAATGAAAAATATTAAGTAAATGGCCGAAGCCAGTTTGGCTCAGTGGTACAGCGTCGGTCTGCGGACTGAAGGGTCCCAGGTTCGATTCCGGTCAAGGGCATGTACATTAGTTGCGGGCACATCCCCGGTAGGGGGTGTGCAGGAGGCAGCTGGCCGATGTTTCTCTCTCATCGACGTTTCTAGCTCTCTATCTCTCTCCCTTCCTCTCTGTTAAAAATCAATAAAATATATTTTTTTAAAAAGAAAAAAATATTAAGTAAATGAAAAAGAGTACAATAAAAGATATTATAAGTAACAAACTCAATAATGATAGCAGAGTTAGAGGATTTATGATGTAACAAGTTATAGGAGCATCATGAAAACATGAACATTTTTATTTCCTCACTCATCAGAAGGTATGCTTTTTTAAAACTTCAGATTTTTTAAAAATCTAACCATGGTTATAGTTTGTATGTGCTTTCCCCCTCTTCAAGGTACTAAAGTATTTCTGATTAATTGATGTTTACAAAATACACTAAATTAGAACACAGAAAAATCACACCAATTGCACCCCAATTTTTTACCTTAATCTCCTTAAAAAACACAATTTCTTTACTGAAGTAGAAATGTTGGAAGACAATTAGAACATACTTAGAGGGAAAAAATGATCAGATTGGTCCCGATTACTATTAAAACCATGCTTTAGAGCTCCCTTTTAAACTCACATTAACTATTCATTTTGGGTTACAGAAAGCAGTTCATTAATTAAATATCTGCCAAAAACAAAGTACGGTAAATGATATGTACTATATTATTATTATTACTCAAACACTTTGAATGAATTGACAGCTGAACACTTCTGAGAAGAGGGAAGGCAGCTAACCTTATTTTCACTTAAAGAGGTAATAATTGCAGTAGTTGCTCTATTTTCAATTCATAAAACTTCACCTGAAACATCTAAACTAATAAAAGCAGAGGTGGTCCTCGTGCTCTTGCATGTAGACCTCATGCTGCCACAATATGGCCGGCAGTGAAGTGCAGTTGTGGGCGATCGGTCCAGCATGGGAGGGCAGTTAGGGGCAAGTAGGCCTGCAGGGAAGGGAAGTTGGGGGGAGGGGGTAACAGGCCTGCAGGGGAGAGCAGTTAGGTGCTACCAGGCCAGCAGGGGAGGGCAGTTGGGGGCGATCAGGCTGGCAGGGGAGCAGTTAGGCATCAATCAGGCCAGCAGAGGAGCAGTTAGAGGGTGATCAGGCTGGCAGGCAGAAGAGGTTAGGGGCAATCAGCCAGGCAAGTGGCTAGGAGCCAGAAGTCCCAGATTGTGAGAGGGATGTCTGACTGCTGATTTAGGCCCGATCCCACAGAGATTCCATAGGGATTGGGCCTAAACCAGTAGTTAGACACCCCCCAAACGGTCCTAGATTGAAGAGGGTGCAGGCAGGGCTGAGGGACATAGCCCCATGCATAAATTTCGTGCACTGGGCCTCTAGTATATATAAACTATATAGGAATCAGTTTATTACCCATCTATAGGTATAATATTTTCTGGTTCACAACCGCAGCATATAATATTCCTAACATTCTAAACAGTTCTTAGCCTGCACACTGGGCCATCCTACTCAAGTCCCACCTTGTCAGAGGCTCCAGCTGCAGAAAAAAACTCTTTTTTAATGTCAGAATTTTATTCTATTTTTTAAAAAGCCAGGCAAAATGTCCAAGTGTTTTCAAACAGTCACGCATTTCCTCAACATTTTTGAGGAAATAACCTTCTCAAAATCAATGACTTTCTAAGAGGTACTTAAAATGGCTGTAAGTCTTACATAATTTACAACAAAATAAGAAGATAAACAAGGAGGGACATGCAGATGTACTAGTGGCTTATGGTTTAAGAATCACTAAAGTACTTTCTTCGTATTCAAAGTTTTTAACACTACAAACTAAAATGTGACAAGGGAATACAATAATATACATATTTTTAGTTGAGATAATAAATGCTAAAATAGAGACAATGTAAATTTGAATTAGATATGAAAAAGAAAAATAATCAAAATTAGGTATATGGCCCTAAAATTAGCCCAAAATACTATATTAATTACCTGAGAATCCAGTTTCTATTACTATAAGGAATCACTGAGGTAGCAGGCTTATTGACTCTTATGATACATTTTATGAAAACTTCAAAAACTCTTTCTTAGTATATAGCTAAATTCTATGAAAAAATATGATAAACATTAAGGAAAATTAACTCTCAGTTATTAAAATATAGTTCTTAAAAATCATAGTTATTCTATTATTTATTTCACTATAGGTTAAGGACAATCATTCAATGATCTTGCCTGGATCAAATGAAATTAATTATTGAAGAGAAATAAAAAATAATCATTTGTGCCAGGACTGATTTGGCTCAGTGGATAGAGCATCAGCCTGTGGACTGAAAGATCCCGGGTTCAATTCCGGTCAAGGGCATGTACCTTGGTTGCGGGCACATCCCCAGTAAAGGGTGTGCAAGAGGCAGCTGGTCGATGTTTCTATCTCATCGACGTTTCTAACTCTCTATCCCTCTCAGTTTCTCTCTGTGAAAAATCAATAAAATATATATTTAAAAAAAAATCATTCGTGAATATTCCAAGGGAAAAAGAAACTGGAAAAATGAATCTGCAAGATTCTCTGCAATCTGAAGACAATGACTCAACAACCACCACAACTGCCACATAACCAAATCTTTTTATCTGCTATTACAAGCTATTCATAAAAGATTAAAGAATAAAAAGTGCATGCTTATTACTGTTTTAGGACATAAAGACAGACATGTATGTCAATCAACTGTCTTTACGTCCTAAAACAGTAATAAGCATGCACTTTGGGATTCAAACATCCCAATTTTGACAACTATTGGTCATTTGGTCTTCAGAAAATTTAACTTCTCATAGTCTTGGTTGCCTCATTTTCAGAATAGAGAAGAAATGAAAGATGAAATGAGATAATGTACACAGAGTATAGTGCCTCCTCTAGAAAGTACCCAATCTGCATGTGGTAAATTGGAACCTTCCACAGAGCAAAGTATTGGGGGGAGGGTAAAGAGGGAGGAAAAGTACAGGAACTATAATAAAAAATCATTTAATATTCTGCAAATATGTAATAAGAGCATATTATTTTATGTGCCTGACAAAAACTATAGATATGATTGTGAACGAAACAACCATGTTTAGATTCTAATAAAAATAGGTCATTTTAATCTAATGTGGAAAGTACAATGAGGGAAGAAACACAGGGTTTTCAGGGAGCACACGAGCAACTAGACCCTGGAGGTCTTGCAGAGGCAAAAGAGTATTTACAAAAAGTCTGTAGACATTTAATAAATAATAGGACAGAAAAACAAACAAAACTGTGTGTTCTCCTATAATTCAAACACAAGAATAATTTATAAAGGACCTATACCATGGACCCAACATAAAAGACAAAAAACAAAAAAGAACTTTACTTTTCAGGGAGTGACAAAAAAAGATGACAGGCATTTCAACCTAGAACTAGACAGAATATAGGCATTTCAAAGGTTAGCATCTAAAGGGTGAGCCTTCAAACTCAAGAAGAAAGCTGCCAGATTGTATTTGGCTAGAACTATTCATGTTCAATAATAGGGGATGGAAACACTGGTCTAAGTATGTAAAATGAATTACATTTTGAATTTATAGTCTGTCTCCAAACTCCAACAATATGTGGAGCTAAATAACTGCAAAAACATATAGGGAAAGGGTATGCCAAGAAAAAGCCAAATACTAGGGTTTGGTCTTAGACTAGTCTCTCATATATGAAAAAAAGAGAATGAATTAACACCTGTTCCAACCTATTTCAAACATTTAGTTATATAGAACACATTTATGCCTATCTGTATGTTCTCTGATCCTGAACATCATCATCAAGATGTTCAGCATTGCCTGGCAGGTGTGGCTCAATGGTAGAGCATCAACCTATGAAACAGAAGGTCACAGTTTGATTCCTGGTCAGGGCATATGGCAGGGTTACAAGCTCGATCCCCAGTAATGGGTGGGCAGGAGGCAGCCAATCAATGATTCTCTCTAATCTTTGATATTTCTCTCTCTCTCTCTCTCCCTCTACCTTCCGCTCTGAAATAAAAAAAATTAAAAAAAAAATAAGTTCAGCACTATTGCAAACATTGTCTATGTCTCTCTCCACTATAAATGGCTTTAAAAATTGACTTGTCATTAAAAACAGTCTATACTTGACCAAAAAAATTTCTTAGAAAACTAATCTTAGGTATTTAAATAGCAAATTATGATAAACTAATATAACCATCTTGATAAACATTTGGTAAAGATCTATTCAAGCATAAAAACTTGAACTTTGGGCAAAAATTCTAATTCAATTTCTTAAATTTAAATAAAAGGTAAGATTACAATAGTTTGAAACTTGCAGTTCTGAAAATGTACTTGCCATGACAAAATCTATTATAAAATCTTGTGTAAGTCAAATCAGTTAATTATTCTAACTCTATATTGAATACAAATAGCTCCTCAATTTCATTTGTGATTTATAAAAGAGAATAAAATTTGATTAAATATGGCAATATGTTCAATTTACTGTGACTTCAAATTTCACTTTATAATTATGTGCAAAATAATTAAAGGCACCTGCATTCTTACAAGTGAAATATTGTAACCCATTTATATTTCCTGGATAACTTGGCTCATTACACAAATTTAAATAGTCACTGATGCAGTAAAATAAATATTTTCTGTCTACTTATAAATTAGTTAATAACAATCTCTATTTTTATCACAGGTTTCCACTTTCCTGACACATTATTTGAAAAGTATAAAGTAGCAAATATGCTTTGAGTCGAAGAGCCTACAAAGATGCCAGTAGTGAACTGCTTAGACAAAAACTGAGAGTTTATAAATGATAAATTAGTCATCAGAATGTAAACCTGCCCAGGTCAGAATTTCTATAAGATGTTTAGCAATAATTCTGATTTTGTGATAATGTTCTCATAGAATGGCACACTAAGAAAGTAGCCATTTGCTGAAGCCAGTAGTAAATTGAGTTTCTGCTAAACTAGTTTATTCTAGTTCATTTTTATAAATTATAAAAGAAAATAAACTAGCAAGAAAAACTTTCCACAGATGTAGAAGAATTCATTTTTGCACTGGTCTACAGCCTTTTGTTAGAAATTGTCTGCTCCCAAAACAATTAGTCTCTAGAAACAGTGGGTGAAACTCACTGACATTCACAAGCCAAATATGTTTTCAATAATCCAAGAGGACACATATTCATTGTAAAGCACTTATTCTGTACTAGAGGCTCAGTGCACGAAATTCGTGCACAGAGGTGTGTATGTCCCTTAGCTCAGTCTGCACCCTCTCCAATCTGGGACCCCTCGAGGAATGTCTGACTGCTGGGTGTCCCACCAGGATCGGGCCTAACTGCTTCTACCTGCCAGCCTGGTCACGTATAGGCTGGCTGGAGTGGTAGGGGTGATCAGGCTGGCAGGTAGAAGCAGTTAGGGACAATCAGGAAGGCAGGCAGGCAAGGAGTTGGAAGCCAGCAGTCCTGGATTGTGAGAGGGATGTCCGACTAACTGTTTAGGCCCAATCCTGGTGGGACATCCAGCAGTCAAGCATTTCATTTTATTACACTCTAAAAGAAAAAACTGACAATATGAATTTCTTCTTTATAGGCAATTGCATTAAAAAGTGATCAGAAAACAATAAAATGTCATTACTTACAATGTGTGACTCCAGCCAGGGTTTGGTAAAAAGTGGGAGTATCACTATCATCAGTGAGGGTCACATATACACCTCCAGACAGTAGCCAACGAGAGAAAGTAAAGGCATCTTTGTTTACAAGAAGCCAATTTCTAAACTTTTCATAGTTTACCTTTTCACCCTATGATTAGTAAAGAAAAAACATAGTTTAGTAAAAATTTAAAGTATCTTACTTGGAACATGCACAACTTGAAATCTGCAATTAGTTGACATTAATCTACAAAGGAAGAATTATCTAAATAAATTATCTTGTAATCTTGGAAATCAAGGTGTTTTCAAAAACAATTGTACTTCAGAACTTCCTTTTACTTGAAATCTATATGCAAATTGCAACTTATTTCATCAATTCATTAAAGCAGTGCATTACTCCTAATAAGTCATATTTTATTTGCTAAGGTATATCCTAAAATCAATAAACTGCATTTCTTTTAATATTTAATAAACCCAATTTTTACTTAACTTACTCCTCTTCTTTAGCACCTCAATCTAAATTAGCATATTTTAATTAAACACATATGAAATTTAAGTGCTCTTTTTAAGTTTTGTTGGCAAATTAAAAACAACTTTCCCAGAGTCCTCAACCAGAAGGCATCAATGAAAACATGTATTCACAAGTCAACTAGAATATAAAAAAGAAACAAGTAGATTTCTATTTCTTTGCTTTCTTTCCTTGCTAAGACTTCTTTGCCTTGTTAAATCTCTTGAAAAAAATAGTATGCAGGCTGGGAAAAAACATCACATAGCTATGCAAATCAATCTCTATGGAAGACAAGACTTAGGTTGAGAGAAGACCAGATGTTGCTATGAGAAAAAGGGAGACTCAACTCACTCAAGGAAATATAATCAGGAATGACACTCAGGAAATATTAAGGGATACAAATAACTTATAACCTAAAAGAACTATGATGGAGCACTAGCCAGTTTGGCTCAGTGGATAGAGCCTTGGCCCGAAAACTGAAGGATCTTGGGTTTGATTATGGTCAAGGGCATATACCTCAGTTGCCTGGCCCTGGTTGGGATGGGTGCAGGCGACAATCAATAGTTGTATCTCTCTCACATAGATGTTTTTTTCTCTCTCTCTCTCCCCCTCTCTTCTACTCTCTCAAAAAAAAAAAATCAATGGGAAAATATCCTCAAGTTAGGATTAACAAAAAAATTAAATAAGTACAAACCAAACAAATAAAAAATATGAATTTTTACTTTAAAATATATATACAGTAAGAAAAAAAATACAACTCCTATGTAGACTTCCTTTATAACATTATTTATCAAAGCTAATAAAGCCAAGACAGAAAAAGCAGAGACCCATTCCATGATTCCATGTCTCTGAAATCTAGGTGTGAGGTCTGTATTTTTTAGCTATAGTACTTTTTACAGTTTGGGGGTTGTTTTTAGGAGTGCAAAAACACACAAAACATTTTGGAAGATTTAAAAAATAAGACTATTCTAAGAAAACTGATACCAAAACATGGTAATTTGAAAAGCTAGGGTCTTGGATACAATCATCAGATACATTATTCAGAAATTACAGGAGGTAAATACATCAAATAGCTGAATCAGATAAAATTAGCCCATTTATAATGTTGAGTTTTTATCACCCCAAGTGATTTATATAGCCTTACATATGAATGTTTCAATACCTTGACCTTTCATTTCTTTGATCTTCCCTCTTCCAAAGCGCTTGTTCTTCATAAAACACTATCCCAGATATTTCCTACCAGTCTTATAATTTTCTTAAAATAACCATTGCTCTTCCCAAAAATGCAATTTTAAGCTTCTCCCTATCACAATTTCCTCTTATAAGCACATACCTTCTAGTAACCCAACTCCAGTGATTTTTTTTTTATTTCACAGGACCTACAACAATGAGCTACCCTTCAAATCTAATGATCAGTTCTCAGTGATCAGAGGTCAACTCATCTGACCTTTCAGTTTATTAGACTTAGTTGAACACTCCTTCCTCTTAAAACATTTTTATCACTTGGCTTCCAGGACATTATTCACTCTTGGGTCTCCTCACAGGCTCCTGTGTTGAACTCCTCTTCATCTTGCCAATTTCTAAACATTGGAATATAGGATTCAGTCTTCCGATTTTGTTTTCTATCTATAAGCCAATAAATCCTTTTCCTTGGACTCCAACCTATTATGTCAAAAGGAAAGCTGACAACTCCACTTGAATGTCTAATATGATTCTCAAATTTAATTATGTCCCAAACCTCCCTCTCTAGTAGTCTTAGCCATCTCAGTTAATGACAATTAATTTACTAAATTAGGCATATACCTTAGTCATTCTCTTCTCTTTCTGTCACAGCCCATAATCAATTAAAAAAGATCTTGTCAACTCCACCTTCAAAATAAATATAGAATCTAAATCTAAAAACTTATCACCTCACTGCCATATATGATCTAAATGGCCATTACCTCTTACTTGGGTCATTCAGATACCTCAATTGGACTCTGTCCAGCCTACCCTAAACATAAAAGCTAAAATGATCATATTTAAAAAAACAAAAACATGCCAAAACCGGTTTGGCTCAGTGGATAGAGTGTCAGCCTGTGGACTGAAAGGTCCCAGGTTCGATTCCGGTCAAGGGCATGTATCCTGGTTGCAAGCATATCTCCAGTAGGAGGTGTATCCTGGTTGCAAGCATATCTCCAGTAGGAGGTGTGCAGGAGGCAGATGATCGATGTACCTCTCTCATCGATGTTTCTAACTATCTCTCTCCCTTCCTCTCTGTAAAAAATCAATAAAATATATTAAAACACACACACACATACCTCATGCAGTCATCTGCTCAAAATTTTCTATGGTTTCCATCTCACTAAGGGTGAAGTAAAAAAACTCACACTGTCCTACAGGGTCACATATAGTACCCCTAACTCCATTCCACCCCTCCTCCAACCTCTGTAAATTCATTTCCTACAAGATAGCCTGCTCACTACATTCCAGCTAAATTGGCCTCTTTGTAGCTCCTTATTCATGTCAAGCACACTCTGAATTCAGGGCCTTAGCTCTTAGTGGAAAGTGCTCCCTCCTGCTCCCCAATATCTGGTTTTATCTCTCACTTTCTTTAAATTTTTTGTTCAAATTTCACTTTATCTAGCAAGTCTTTCCTACTATTCATACAAAATACTGATATTCAGCTACCTCCTCCCTATCACCACCTCTCTCCCTAATTCTTTTTTTCCTTACCCGAGAATATTTTTCCATGATTTTTTTTTTTTTTTTTTTTTTTTTGGAAAAAGAGGAAGAGAGGAGGAAGAAAGGGGAGAGGAGGGAGAGGAAAGCAAGAAGAGAAAAAGGGAGGGAGGGAGGAAAAGGCAGAAAGAAGGGAAGGAGGTAGAGAGAGACACAGAGAGAAGCATCTGTGTTGGAGAGACATTCATTGGTTGCCAGAGATAGAACCTGCAGCTGAGATAATCTGCCCTTGCCCTTGACCTGAAATCAAATAAATACCTTAACTCTTTGGTCTGAGGGCTGATGCTCTAACCATCAAGCTAAACTGGCCAGGACTATTTATGAAAAGTTTAAGAGAGGCCAAAGAGATATCAGAACCATATATATCTGCCTGCAGTATTGACAATCAATGTCTATATAGTTAGGAAGGTGACTAAACTGCATAAAAACTGCCTGAATAAAACCAAGAGCAGTGAAGGACTGTCATCTCTGTGAAATGAAGTAAGTCAAAGAGCCAATCATAAGAAATCATACAGCAGTGAGTGCTATAGGAAAGATTCAGAAACTTGTAAAAGGGTGTGTGTTTTTTTACTCCACCATCTCTAGGGACTTTTCCCATATTAGTAGACCCCTGAAAAAAAAGGGAATATTCTCTGAAAGATACACATTTTGTAATGTTTAGTTTTACACAAGGAAAATAGAAAAATTATGAAAAGAGAAAAAAATGACATTTTGTAAACCCAACTATTGCACAATGCAAATCAAATAAGTAATAACATAAATAGTAAATAGGCCCTGATTGGTCATAACAATACAGAATGGATCGAGGCAAATGAATGATATACCTATATGTCCATGATGAAAAGCAATGGCACTATAATGTGAGCAAGCTCAGGTTCCTGCAGAATCACAGTGCAAGAATGTGTGTGTTGGTGTGAGAATATGGGAGTGTATTTCATTATACCATAGTATAGATAGCTGCCTTTACAGTAAAACTGGGTTTCAGATTCACATATGTAGCAGAAATAAGTACCATGGATCTTTAAGCACAAAACATAGTTGAAACATCAACTGTTAAATTAAAAGAATGTTAAGAATATGCTGCACATAAATATTTATTCATCATAGCTAAACTCATTATACAACAATTAATACTCATAGTCAATAGGTAGGGATAAAATGTAAAAACTTTAAATATACCTCTGAGAAACATTTCCTAAGTGTATCTGGGACTTTACCATCCACACCATGGAGCATTCTTTCCATTTCTTCCCGTGTAACATAGCTTCCAGATTCACTTGCAAAAAGACTAAAGATGTCTAAGAGAAAGGAAAAATAAATTAATCTTATCACAGATCAAATATACCCTGGTGGAAGTAGGGAGGAAAGAGAAAGATAACAATTACTTAGTGATTATTAGTGCCAAGTACTTTAGGAACACATAAATTTATTTATTCATCAAAACAACCCAGCAATTCAAATTAAAACAGAAATGTGAGCCCTAACCAGTCTGGCTCAGTGGATAGAGCATCAGCCATGGTATAATTCCGGTCAAGGGCATGGACCTCCATGGCAGGCTGCACCCCCAGCTCTGGTCAGGGAACTTATGGGAGTAATCCATCGATGTGTTTCTCTCACATCAATATTTCTCTTTCTCTGTATCTCTCCCCTCCCATTAGCAGCCTCTAATAATCAATGGGAAAATATCCTCAGGTGAGGATTAATAAAAAACAAAACAAAACAAAAACCAACTACCCAGCAATGTGATATACTTTCAAACATACCAAATTTGCAAAAATGTTTAGGTGTGAAAATAAAGAGTTAGCAATAATGTGGGAAAAACTGAAGCTCTTATACACTGTTAATGAGAGTACTAATTACTGCAACCACTGATGCTATGAACATTCGTGTACTTTTTTTTAATGAATATAGTTGCCCCTTGAACCACAGTTTTATTTTATTTTATTTATTTATTATTTTTTTAATATATTTTATTGATTTTTCACAAAGAGGAAGAGAGAGATAGAGAGTTAGAAACATCAATGAGAGAGAATCATCGATCAGCCGCCTCTTGCACACCCCCCACTGGGGATGTGCCCGCAACCAAGGCACATGCCCCTGCCCGGAATCGAATCCGGGACCTTTCAGTCCGCAGGCCGACGCTCTATCCACTGAGCCAAACCGTTCCCGGCTTATTTTATTTTATTTTATTTTATTTTTTTAAAAATATACTTTATTGATTTTTTTACCAAGAGGAAGGGAGAGGGATAGAAAGCTAGACACATCAATGAGAGAGAAAATCTACCACTGAGAACACTGGCCAGGGCTATGTTTCTTAATTTTAGCCATTCTAGTGGGTGTATCATTGTAATTTTCATTACATTTCCCTAAATACTAATTATGTTGAGCCTTTTTCATTTTTTAAAAATATATTTTTACCCATTTCAGAAAGGAAGGGAGAGAGAGAGAGATAGAAACATCAATGATGAGAATCACTGATCAGCTGCCTCCTGCATGCCCTGCACTGGGGATGGAGCCCACAGCCAGGGCATGTGCCATGACCGGGAATGGAACCGTGACCTCCTGGTTCATAGGTCAATGCTCAACCACTGACCCACGCTGGCAGGGCTGCTAAGCATTTTTTCAAGTGGTTCTTGGACACTTAGACACTTGTTATCTTCTTCAGAGAATTATCAATTTAAATACTTTGCTTATCATCAGAAATTTGAGATAAGGCCCTAACTGGCTAGCTCACTTGGTTACAATGTAAGCCTATATGCCAAGTTTGTAGGTTTGCTCCCCAGTGAGGGCACATACAAAAAACAACCAGTGAATACATAAGTGAAACAACAAAGCAATTTCTGTCTCTCTCAAATCAATTTTAAAAAATGAGCTAAAATAGAGAGAGAATCCAAGATGGCTGCTCGGGTAGGCACCTAGCCGAGCTGCACACAACAATTTCAACAAAATACAACTAAAATATAAAATGGACATCACCCAGAACTACAGGAAAGTTGACTGACTGGAAATTCTACAACGAGAAGCAAGGAGAAAACCAGAAGGAAGCGCGGAGGAGCTGGGAAAGCCTAAGGTACGGAGACACGCGGCGCGCGGAGAGGACGGAGCCGGAGAGGAGGGCGGCGGAGGGCCTGGCGGGCGTTCCCTGGCGGGAAGGAGATAAACGCTCCGAATGTGCTGGCCCCCATTCTGACTGCTCTGAACCCCAGGCCTAGGCCCCGGGGACCCAGGCTCACACAGAGGGAGCCGGGCTGAAAGGCTGAACCCCGGGGAAGAGGCGAAAGGAGGTCCCGGCGGCGGCGCCGCGCAGAGAAGGGACGGTTGGCTGTGCCGCGGGATTGCCTGGCGGGAAGGAGACTGGGGCTCCAGACTGCTCTGAACGCCACCTCCAACTCCACTTCCAACTGAACTGAACCCCAGTTTCGGGACCATTGGGGGAGAGACTAGACTGTTTGGCAGCAGGCGAAAATCGAGGGCGCCTTTCTCTCAGAGGCGCTTACAACAAGTACTGAAGGACCCTGAGTCTCAGGAGTCGCATAGGGCGGGGCTGACGGAAGCCAAAGCTGCAGGCTCCACCCTGAAACCCCGCCCCATCAGGAAAGCTGCCTGCGAAAATGCCTAAACCAAATAGATCACAAACGAAAGAAATGGAGGACAAAAAGCGACTGGATATAGAGTTCAAAACCACACTTATAAGGTTTTTCAAGAGTTTCCTAGAAAAGGCCGATAAAATAAATGAGACTTATGAGGATATGAAAAGGGATCAACAAGAAATAAAGAATACATTGTCTGAAATAAAAACTATTATACAGAGTCCTAAAAACAGAATAGAAGATCGCAAGAATCAAGTCAAAGATTTGGAACATAAAGAGCCAGAAGATACTCCTCCGCAGAAGCTAGAAGGCAAGAGAATCCAGAAAATTGAAGATGATGTAAGAAACCTCTGGGACAACTTCAAACGATCCAACATCAGAATTATGGGGGTCCCAGAAGATGAGAGAGAGCAAGATATCGAAAACATATTGAAAGAAATAGTGACAGAAAACTTCCCCCACCTGGGGAAAGAATTGGACTTACAAGTCCAAGAAGCACACAGAACTCCAAATAAAAGGAATCCAAAGAGGACCACACCAAGACAAATCATAATTAAGATTCCAAGAGCAAAAGACAAAGAGAGAATATTAAAAGCAGCAAGAGCTAGGCAGATAGTTACCTATAAAGGAGCACCTATACGATTGTCAGCTGACTTCTCAACAGAAACCATGCAGGCCAGACGGGAATGGCAAGAAATATTCAAGGTGATGAATAGTAAGAACCTACAGCCAAAGATAATCTATCCAGCAAAGCTATCACTCAAATTCGAAGGTCAGATAAAGAGCTTCACTAATAAAAAAAAGCTAAAGGAGTTCATCACCACCAAACCAGAATTATATGAATTGCTGAAGGGGGTTCTTTCAGAAGAGAAAGTAAATAAAGATAAAAATTATGAACAACAAATACGTAACTATCAACAAGTGAATCTAAAAACCAAGGAAATTAAAAAAAAAATCTGATGAACAATATTAACTGTTGAATATAATAGAATCAGAGGTATGGAAGGGGAGTGAACTGATGATTCTTGGGGAAAAGGGGAGAAGAGGATGTGGGAAGAGACTGAACATAAACTGTGCACCTATGGATGAGGACAATGGGGGGTGGGGAAAGGGCAGAGGGTGGGGTGGGAAGGGACATTTGTATTAATATGAACAATAAAAATTGAGAAAAAAAAAAAAGAGATCATCAGAATATAAACAAAAATAAAAAAGAAAAAAGAAAAAAGAAAGAAAAAAAAAAAAAGAAAAAAAAAATGAGCTAAAATAATTCTGTGCCCATCTATATTATCATTTTGAGATAATAAAAGCACTTACATTTTGCTTTCTCTTCATCTTTGCCTCTTGTAAGAAGAACAAGTCCAACTATTAAATTATTGAAGTGTAGTCCCTTTGATGTTCCACCAAAAGAACAGTAAATCACCTAGGAGAAAATGATAAAGCCAATCTTAAGATGTTGAGGAATCTGAGGCTGGTAACACCTTAAACAAATATTGTCTCCATCTCCAAACAAGGCCCTGGTAAACTTTAGTGAAATGATAAGTTTCTCCCCCTTCTTCTTTAGCACCTTGTTATTGCACTGAACCAAGAATATACTATATCTAATCTCAAATACACATACCATTGGCTCATACCCTAAGTATTTATTCTGTTTCTTTGCAGTCCTTAGAAAAGTCCAGAAAGATAAGGTCTTTCAACAGCCCCAATAATGTGATAAGGATTCTGTGGGATTACAGAACTTCCTTCAACTTCTATAAAATGTATACACATCATTTCGATTTGAAAGACTGACATTCTCTAACTGTGTAACTACGCAGAAACTTCATTTCTTTAATATGACCTTTTTTCTTTTCTTTTGATTCAAACTGGCCTCATCCAGCATCCAGACACACTTGCCTTCTTCATTGCACAGTCACTCCCTTAATCATTAAATCCTTGGTACAATGACATTCTGGTCCGCATTAAATAATCCAGGAACAAAGCATCAGGTCTATTGACCACAGAGACAGAGGAGTTTCAGTCAGACTACAGATAACATCTAGACCTTAATTGTGTTCAGCTCCAGAAAAAAACAAACACACAAACAAACAAAAAAAAATACTACTTAGTTCAGTCTCTGCTGTCCTATACAAAACATCCATATTTCAATCACAAAGTTAAATGTTTTATACAAACAAAGCTGGGTTGGAGAACCACCCAGCTTTCTTTAGTTTTTCCAGATATTCAGCATGCAAAGGCTGGCTTGTAGCACTGGAGAACCTTGACAGAATCTTCTTTGTTGAATCCACCTTACTGCCTCCCAGTAATAACCTAATCTTCCTAATCCTCAGAATTTTAGTGTGTATATTCTGTGCTTTCAATCTTGGTTCTGTCAGAAATGCCCACGAGTGAGCCTAACTACCCCTGATTCTTACTCTTCATATATCTCTGAGACTGCCACACCACCTGTCTCTTTCTAGGGTTCCATATCCCCAGCCAGCCACAATACTATGGCCAAGGTACAAACTGTTACTTACAAATACTAGTAGCACCTCGTCCTAACCATTTTAAGTCATTGACTAGAGTTATGATATAGAAGGCACATGTATTAATTTTGTAAATAATAAAGTTGGAGGGATGGCTAATAAAATAGGTAACAATATAGAATCAAACTCATCTCAGGATGAACACTTGGCTAAAGGTAAAATGATGAAATGTAATGTATTTAGAGTTTCTTAAAAATTTAGTTTATATATAGTAAATATAGAAGAACAGAAGTGAGCTTGGAAATTTTAGGCAACAAAGCTATAATCTTTTTGCATAAGTTAATAGAATTTCATGCTGCATGGTAATGACTCAAGAATAAAGTATTCTCCTACTGTTCACTAATCAATTCAATCTAGAGAACAGCATGGGATTAACCAGTATGCATATTACTGGTAACTATGGTTAGGAAGCAGCAGGGGGAAAGAACTTATTTAAATGCCTACGAGGGAAGGCTCCAGTTTCCCAATTCAAATAGCTGAATTCCATCTATGGGAGGTAGCAGATTTCCAATGAGGATTCCAATAGAGACAACAAAAATTTGGGATCATGATACTGTGCCAAAATCCTTTGTGGCTTCTAGTTCCACCCCCATTTCGAAAGCCAGAAAATGAGGATTAATAAAAACAGTGTGGTGAGATTTACATGACATAAATTACATAAAATGTTTATCATAGCTCCAGAAACCTGGCAAATTAACTCCATAAATGTTAGTTATTATCATCATCAGTCGGAAGCAACATAGAACAGTAGCTAGTATGGATTTGGATACATAGACTTGCTCATTAGCTTTAATACTTCAGTAAGTAATCTAACTGCCTTAAGCCTCAGTATCTTTTCCTCAATGATAAAATGATAGTAACATCAGTACTTACATAATGACAAATGTCATATAACTTAAGTTGTCAGATAAAAATTTGTGAACTCATTAGGAAAATAAATTTACCTAAGTGTTCTAAGTTAACATCCCAATTAACAGATAAACTAGCTACATGTGGTTGTTCAAAGTACTAAATTATATACTTGGCAAAGCAGCTAATAAAGTAACTAGCATATAATATTAATAAACAATAATCAAAGTCTATCACAGTGACATAGTATCTCTAAGGGAAAGGTTTGGTTTCAAATAACCAAATTGTACCTCTTTGAAACATCTGCAAACTATGTTATTATACACTAGTGGCCTGGTGCATAGATTCATGCACATTGAAAGGAAATTAATTAGGAGAAATATTTTAATATTTCTCTATAATAGAAGTGTCAACCAAATTCACAATCAACAATGACAGATCCGAAATACATGAGTGCGATTGGTGCCAGTGAGTTCTTTATATGTATCATGCATGCACGAGTCAATGTTTATTTTTAAATTGCCAGTGCATGTCATATGTACCAGCTGGCCAGCCAGTTGGATGGTCAGAAGATTGGTCACTTATCCTTTTATATATAGAGATAACTACATTATTGCCAGTTTGGGGTTCAGCTGAAATCATTGAGAGGAGGATAAAAATAACAACCTTGACCATTATAGCCTGATGCTCTCAAATGACCTAATGAGGAACAGACTAATGATAATTAAACAGTTCAGGCAGTATCTCTTTGGATTTCAAGAAGAATAAATAAATATTCTATTATCTTTCAAATAAATAGGCTCATGTGGTCTTAATGTGGTTCCTAAAGATTAAAAAAATAATCCTGACCTAGCCAGTTTGGCTCGGTAGATACAGTGTTGGCCTGAGGACTGAAGGGTCCCAGGTTCAATTCTGGTCAAAGGCAATGCCTGGGTTGCAGGCTCGATCCCCATTGGGGGTGGAGGGGGTAGCATGCAGGAGTCAGCCAATCAATGATTCTCTCTCATCAGTGATGCTTCTATCTATCTCTCCCTCTTTCTTACTCTCTGAAATCAATAAAAATATATTTGCCAAAACTGGTTTGGCTCAATGGATAGAGCATCAGCCTGTGGACTGAAAGGTCCCAGGTTCGATTCCAGTCAGGGGCATGTGCCTTGGTTGTGGGCACATTCCCAGTGAGGGGTGTGCAGGAGGCAGCTGATCGATGTTTCTCTCTCATTGATGTTTCTAACTTCTATCCCTCTCTCTTCCTCTCTATAAAAAATCAATAAAATATATTTAAGAAAAAAAAATATATATATATATATATATATTTTTTTTTTTTAATAATACTGATCTTAATGAGGGAGGAGGGAGAGGCAATGTAAATCAGTAACAGGAATATATTTCAGTTCAAAAAACTTTTGATACATAGCTTTCAAAATATCAATTCAATTAAGCTACTGATACTTTTTCAGGATTAGTCTGGACAAACAAAAGGATCCTCACAGAAACCGATTTGGCTCAGTGGATAGAGCGTCAGCCTGCGGACTGAAAGGTCCCAGGTTCGATTCCGGTCAAGGGTATGTACCTTGGTTTCGGGCACATCCCCAGTAGGGGGTGTGCAAGAGGCAGCTGATGGATGTTTCTAACTCTCTATCCCTCTCTCTTCCTCTCTGTAAAAATTCAATAAAATATATATTTAAAAAAGGGATCCTCAAACACACCTGGATGAGGGAATCTAATGCTCAGGAACAAAAGGGTAACATAAGAAGTATCCCAAACCAAACCAAATCAGAACCAGAAATCAAAGATAATGCTAGAAGAACACTGATGAATGAACAACAGCAAATCATAATGCACATAGGTTCCACACTGTGATTTCTACCAACAGAAGACCTATAATACCAGAAAACTCCAGAAGTTATCCAACTATCACACTTGGGCAACTTTACCAACTGTTGGTTTCTTGACTGTAGTGGTGGCTTCACAAACCCACAGTTATAGAATTATACAGAATTTCATACACATACTAGGTAAAGCAGAATAAGATCAGTAAATAGTATCAGGGTCAATATCCTGGTTTTGATTTTGTGCATTTGCAAAATGTTAACTTCAGGGGAAATGGGCAAAGTACAAAAAGAATCTCTCTATATTCTTTCTTAATAACTGCATCTGAATCTGTATCTCTTTTGTTGTTGTTGTTGTTAATCCTCACGAGAGTTTATTTTTCTATTGATTTTTTTAAAAGAGAGTGGAAGAGAAGGGGAGAGACAGAGAGAGAAACATCAATGTGAGAGAGACACATCAATTGCCTCCCACTTGCACTCAAATCAGGGCCAGGGAGCACGCCTGCAACCAAGGTACAGGCCCTTGACTGTAAGCCAATCAGGAATCCTTCAGTCCTCAGGCTAATGTTCTATCCACTGAGCAAAACAGTTGAGCTAAATCTGTAGCTTGATAAAAATTTCAAATAAAAATATTTAGAGCCGAAACCGGTTTGGCTCAGTGGATAGAGCGTCAGCCTGCGGACTGAAGGGTCCCAGGTTCGATTCCAATCAAGAGCATGTACCTTGGTTGCAGGCACATCCCCAATAGGGGATGTGCAAGAGGCAGCTGATCGATGTTTCTCTCTCATCAGTGTTTCTAACTCTATCTCTCTTCTTTCATCTCTGTATAAAATCAATAAAATATATTTTTAAAAATTTAGAAAGAAAGAATCTTCATAGTATTGGAATAAATGTATTACAAAAAAAATTTTAGGAAAAAATTTTTACATTAAGTGTATTCTAAATAATACTTTCTCCCTAATAATAGCTTTAATAGCTAGTTTTTCTCCTAAAGGCACAATAACCAAGGAAAAAAGTTCTACAAAAATCCACAATTAGAATTTGAACTTATTTGATAACAAGAAATATCACTTTTCCAATTAAAAAAAGAAACTATTCATAAAGCCAAATAACAAAAATTATATCTCACATCTTATCTAATAGAGGGAATATGCTAATTGACCACCACTCCATCATAAAGATGGCTGCACCCACAGCTGAGACCAAGTTCCTTTAAGGAGCTTTAATGAGCAATCAGCAGGGACCTGAGGCTACACCCTCCTCCACCCCTGTGGGGCTTGACAAGGGACCTCAGGTCATGCCTCCTGCCTTGGCACCAGGCCAGGGGATCTCAGGCTGTGTCCCCCACATGGCAGGACTTGATGGGGGATCCCAAGGAAAATCCCCACCCCATCTGGAGGACCTCAGGCCACACACCCCCTTCCTAGCGCCGGGCCAGGGGACCTGAGTCTACACCCCCTGCCCAGCAGGGTTTAACAAAGGCAGGACTGGCTAGGTCAGGATCTAGTCCAATGGGGGTGGGAGGCGCAGGTCTGGGTCTCACATGATTTTGAGGCAGATGTGTGTGAGTGGGGACTTGACTCCAGTCCCGCTTTTAATGTCACGGGCCACTAGTAATAAATATTGTGCATCTATGTGCAAGAAATCAAATGGGGGTAAGAAAAACAGAGTGAAGAAGAGAAGTAAACAATGAATTAGTATTTCTTGGCACCAACATTGTGTAAAACTTTAATCAAAAATAGATGTATACATTTTCCCTTACATGTGTTTAATTACTCTACATCTTCCTCATCTCATTAATAAGCATTTTGGTTTTAAAGACTTATTTTCTTAGGTTTTCAGATGGAGAAAAATTTGATATAGTGGTATATCATTCCTATTTCTCAAATGTAAAAGTTGTAGTAAGCAAGCATTTCTGAGAACTTCTATGACAGTCAAAAATTGTCTCACCTAGGCAAGCTATAGTAAAATACCATTATTAGTTTGACCTTATCTTTCAAACTAAGAGCCCAGCATGCTCTAAGCAAGCTCTTCCTAAATTCATGCCAGTTGGTGCCTTTACCTACAGCCACTGGTAGCTTATATTGACCTAAACACTATACTATTCAACTATTAAGTAAATATTATATAACTCTATAAGAAATGGAAAAATCAAAACCTAACTCAAAACCTATTATCAGTGTGTAACAAACATTGTGTCAACAGCTGAATTTTATTTTATTAAATCACAAGGTCAACTAGAATACTCATCGTAAAACAAAAGAGGTTATAAATATCTTCAATATCATCACTAGAACAATATCATCCACAAAGTCAGTGGCTAGTAGAGCCCAGAAATACAAAAGAAGCAGAACTGCACCTCTGCAGTATTTCCATTTAGCCTCTAAGAACATAGTCATATTGACATCTAAAACTTAACTTCTCAGCAAGAAAAATAAAGGGGAATTTTAAGTTTGTTAAGACCAAGAGGCCCTTCAAAAACTCAGGCTGGTGGGTAACTATCTCAAAGTAACACCTAGAACACAGAGATTACCTCAGCAACTTTTGGAGGCACTCCATCACCAAGCACTTCCTTGATAAAGCAGTGTTGGCCCATGTAATATGAGAGTCCACAGGTCCTCTTGAAGGCATCCTTCAGTCGCTTCAGCTCTACATCTGTAACTGCAATTCAGAAATAGAAGATGGATAAGAAACCAGAAAAGAAATCTCTCAAAAAAAAAAAATTTTTTTTCCCCCCCGAAACCGGTTTGACTCAGTGGATAGTGTTGGCCTGCGGATTAAAAAAGGTCCCGGATTCGATCAAGTGCCTATGCCTTGGTTGTGGGCACGTCCCCAGTGGGAGTGTGTGAAGGAAGCAGCTGATCGATGTTTCTCTCATTGATATTTCTAGCTTTCTATCCCTCTTTTTTCCTCTCTGTAAAAACTCAATTAAAAAAATATTTTTTAAAAGTATATTTTATTGATTTTTCACAGAGAGGAAGGGAGAGAGATAGGGAGCTAGAAATGTCGATGAAAGAGAAACATCAACCAGCTGCCTCTTGCACACCCCCTACCGGGGATGTGCCCGCAACCAACATACATGCCAGAATCGAACCTGGGACCTTGACCAGAATCGAACCTGGGACCTTTCCGTCCGCAGACCGACGCTCTACCGCTGAGCCAAACTGGTTTCGGCTAAAAAAATATTTTTTTAATCTTTTTTTTTTAAGTCCTGTTTCTAAGAAAATTTGGTAACCATTACTTCTCTCCCCAGATAAGCCAAACAAACCCAAGTGTAGATCAACGTAGACATAATTCTAATATTTACAAATCTAATCTAGAAAATAAATATGAAAATTCTTGACCCACTATCTTCAAACAATAGATTATATGTACAAATTTCAAGCAGGGACAAGTAAGAGGCAACAAGTATTTCAAATTAGCAGGTAAACTAAATGGTATTAGGTTCTGGCATTAATATGTTTTCAGCAGCAATGTACTCATTCCATTGAGATATAAATTATATTGTTTGTAGTCCTTAAGCATGCACCTAAGTGGAGGATAATCCTAAATTTAGATTAAATTTTTGTCATCATTTACAGATAATGTAACCTATTAATAGATGATTCTAACAACCTAAATATTTTAGATATTCACTATTAAGAAATGATTACTGAGCCATTATTTCCTTTTAGGCATTGATGATTTTTTTCACTGAATAGAACAATCAACTTCTGTCTACAAAGACAGAAAAATAAACACTCTTTAATGCTATGCAGTCAGTACAATGATCACAAAGGAGACACAGAAATGATATTTTTAGTCCATGCTAGAAGAAAAGAAAGACTTCTGGCCTTAAAAGATGATTAGATAAAATGTTAAAGACTAATCCAAGCAAAAGGGACAAGGTCATACCAAGCAGAGATAGCAGTTTGTTTCTACACAAATAGAACTTAGAGACTTGTATAGTACTATAACAAAAGAAATAAGGCAGGGAATAGTAAGTAATAAGTTTAGAGAGGCATTCATTGACCAAGTAATAGAGAATTCTGTTCTGTCATAATAAGGAAGGGATACAGTCAAATATAATTCAGATAGAAACTCCAGGCAAAAAGAAAACAGGACATAATAAAATTCAGATAGTTCATTCTACCAGTAATGGAAAGAACTGAAAATACGTAGCAGTAAAAAAGTAGACTGCTACTTCAAGAAGAAAAGGAGGCCAAAGCCGATTTGGCTCAGTGGATGGGCCATTGGCCTGTGGACTGAGGGGTCCCGGGTTCGATTCCGGTCAAGGGCATGTATGTTGGGTTGGTTGCAGGCACATCCCTAAGTGGGGGGGCGTGCAGGAGGGGGCTGATCGATGTTTCTGACTCTCTCTCTCCCTTCCTCTCTGTAAAAAAGTCAATTGATATTTTGTGTGGCAGCCCAAGCTAAAACCAAGTTTTGTATTGAGAAATGGCTGCTGCTATAACCAATACTTAAAAATGTGGATGTGGTTTAGAACTGTGTAATGGGTATAGATTGGAGGAGTTTTGAGGTGCATGCCAGAAAACACTTATATTGCTATAAAGAGGCCATTGGTAGAAATATGGACATCAAAGGCCATTCTGAGGCGTTCTCAGACAGAAATGAGAAATATGTTACTGGAAACTGGAGGAGATCTTTGTTAAAAAGTGGCCAAGTGGCCGAAGCCGGTTTGGCTCAGTGGTGGAGCGTCGGTCTGTGGACTGAAAGGTCCCGGGTTCGATTCTGGCCAAGGGCATGTACCTTGGTTGCGGGCACATCCTCGGTGGAGGGTGTGCAGGAGGCAGCTGGTCAATGTTTCTCTCTCATCGATGTTTCTAGCTCTCTAACTCTCTCCCTTTCTCTTTGTTAAAAATCAATAAAATATATTAAAAAAAAAAAAAAAGTGGCCAAGTGGACTGAACCTTTGTGTGATGAAATTGAATATTTAAGGATATTTCTAAGCAAAGTGTCAAAGAATTGTTTTCTCCTTAATGACAGGAAAGAGTCACAGAACTTGAAGATTTGGAAAATGCTCAGCCTATTTATACTACAAAAAGACAAAGTTTATTCTGAAGAGAACACTAAAGGTGTGGCAAAAAACTATTTGATAAGGAGATCAATATGGATGTGAGCCATCAATTTAATCAATCACCTCACAGAAGCCAGGAATAAAGATTGTATTATACCAGCAGAAACACTTCCAGCTGTTACTACAAGAAACAGAAAAAAAAAAGGGGGGGGGGGGGAGGGAGGGGAGTGGCTGTCAAGACTTCTGGAATTCTACAGATGGGACCTAGTTACCTAGCACAAACAAGAGATATCCTTCAAGAAAAGGGAAGCTTGATTGCAAAGCTGATTCAGAGATGACAGGGCTGCCACTCCTATCACAGGCCCAGAAGGCAGGACTGGTTTCAAAAGGTCGGGTCTCCTTAATTTGAGGATGGAGAACCAGGATGCCACCACCCAGTGACTCAAGAGCAAGGTGATGGCCCAGTGCCTGGGGGCATGACTGCCCCACAGAGCCATGGGAGTACACCGCCTCCCCACTGGGCCTGGGGGCAGTGCATTGAACCAAAAAGGATTATTCTTGAGACATCTAATGGAATTTGATATGTTAAGTTCTGATTTGGGGGCTGTTGGGATAGAATGAATGTGTTTCTGATGCATTGTGGACATTCATTTTGGAAGGCCAGGGTTAAAATGTTATAGATTGAACATACACATCTCTCAAAATTCTTATGTTGACACCCTAACCCCCAGCGAGACTGTATTTAGATTCGGGAAGTAGTTATGGTTAAATGAGATCATAAGGGTGAAGTCATGATTGGATAAGATTATAAGAAACACTAGAGCTTAAAAGCTTACTCTCTTGCTCTGCCTTTAGGTACACAGGTACAGACAAACAGGGGCCACATACTAAACCTGAAAAAGCTCAAAGGAGGCCTGTGAGGCAGTCTTACAAATGCAGAATCCTAAAATAACCATAAAGGATGGTCTGAAATAAAAATGTGGGGTTTTTTGTTTTGTTTTTTAACTAAAAGCAGCTTATGATGGGTAGTCATGTCCTAGGCCAGTGTCTTCCCAGACAAGGGCCAATCTTTATCTTAACTGAGCCTGTTTATTATTGTCTTTTTATATCTATGATAACATATAATGGAACCTTGGTTCTCCAACTTACTACATTCCGGAAAGGCTGTTAGAGAAGTGATTTGTTGAAAACTGAATCATTCCTCCCTCCCAGCCCCCATTAGAAATCATGTAAATTGAATTAATCTGTCCCAGACACCCCCCCAATGATTTCTTATATACATGTTTAATGTACCGTTTAATCTAGAAACAAACACTTCTTTTTTAAAAATTTATCAAACCACTCCCTACTAACCTTAAATGATTTTTTCATATTATGAAATGCTACCACACGGGCTAACTGCTATCACTGCTGCTTTATGCTTGTCCAATCAGCAGCAGTTTTTCTATCTATTCAATTGCCTATGATGTCTTGTGAGCACTCTTAACAACATTAGCACACTGAATGGCCTCTTTATGTTTTAAAATTGTGCTAATTGTAGCTAACAAACACATTCTCTCCTTTGTTATCTAAGAGATGCTTTTTGTCAGGTTTTGGTTAACAACGGAAACATTTTCTCTGAGAACAACTTGGTCCAGAACTGAATTGTATGAGAAGGGAGAGTTGGAAGTTGGATTGCATGTAACGTCAGGATAACTTCCTTGTTTCTAGACCCCTCAGAGACAACCATAAATCCTCACTGTTATTGTTACCATGTTAATTGTTAATTGTTGACTGTTAACTATCCTGAACTCACTTTACTTTTTATCCAATGCCAGAGATCCCCCCTTTACTTTCTCTCACCTCCCTAAACTATCACCAATGGATTTCATATTACACACATCTTCTCTTTGATCCTAATGTATAAAACAAGGTGCAAAACTGCCATTCTCTGAGGCATTATCTCAATCCATTGAGATTCTGCTTCCTGGCATTGGTTGACAGTTTGGCAAAAATAAACTCACAAAAATTCTTCACAGGTTTGAATGTTCCTTAGTTAACACAAAGGAAAAGGCACTTGAAGGCACAGAGAAAAGGTAGCCATCTGCAAGCCAGGAAGAGAACTATCACTAAATCCTGCCAGAACCTTGATGAACTTTGCAGCTCCTAGAACTGTGAAAAAATTCATCTGTTTTTTAAGCCACCCAATTTTTAGTATTTTGTTTAGTAGCCTAAGCAAACTAATACAATTTCTATAGTACAGACAATAAACAGGCCAACCCCTCCTTTACAATAGATAAAGAAGCTTATTTAAATTGCTTTTGCAGGATCCTATGTAGAGATTAGAGCTCACAGTCCTTGCAAGGAAAATAAAAATATCTTTGGGAAATACATTCCAAAAACCATGGATAGTACGGAACTCACATATACTTTTTTCCCTTACACACATACTTATGATAAAACTCAAATTATACATTTGGCACAGTGAGTTAACAATAATAAAAATACAATAATTATTAAAATATATTGTAATAAAAGCTATATGAATGGATCCCCCCCAAAAGAATATTTTATTGTGACTTACACATACGACACGGATAATCTGGACAAAAGTAAACCTTTTTATAGCCCTGGGACATGACTATCTACCATCATTTGCCCAGCT